CAACTGACCTCAAACGCTTAATAACGCCGATACTAGAAGCTCCTTTTTTAGTTATTTTGTAGACAGAGTAAAATGCTAATCTTATACCACATTTGATGCTAGGATTAGGTTGGGCTTAGGATTAACTAAAGCCCCGTTTACACTACACTCGATTTATTGGCACGGCACGGCTAAAATGGGTACCCGTGCCCATTTCATCTGTGCTCGGCCTTTGTTTTGGTAGCCTGAACACTAATAAAATTGGGTACGGGTACCAATTTTAGCCGTGCCGTGCCGATAAATTGACTGTAGTGTAAACGGGGCTTAATCCACTGTAATCCAATCCAAACCCTAATCCTAATCGGGGGCCGGTTGTGGGTGCGAAAGGCGTTTAGCTTTAACGGTTGATAAGCAAATGCGAAATAGCCTGTGTCGTTATTGTTATTTGCCCTTTGAATTCGATTATCAACGACGAAATTCAGAAGATAGTTAGGACAGGCGTTCGAGTGTCTGTATTGAATATCAACAGAACTTGTGATGATTCTGAAATTTTACTATTTAGTATTTACTAATTTACCATTTAGTTTGTTAGAACCGCGATTTTTAGTATATATTTCGTAGCCGCAGTACAAAGCCTCCTAGAGGAGAGTCGTATAAAATCGAAGAAACTTTCACAGACGAGTTCATGAAAAGCCTTCCCTACCCTTGGGTCCTCTCTGAAGATGCCCACGCCAACCTAGACGGTGTCTTAGAGCATTTTCATCGCTACATGAAAGAGGGAGATTACATGGTTGTCGAAGACACTGGCCCGGATCTTGTCTTGCAAGTTAATTCGAGAAACGCCGATGCTGGCAGCTTCACTCCCGTGGGACCGAATCATTTGCAGTGTTTCAAAAGATTCTTACAAGACCACGAGGAATTCTACGCTGTGGACAGCTTCCTGACTGATATGTATGGATACAATTGTAGCTGGCATTGCCGGCACGGCTTTGTTAAAAGAATGAAATGATTTGGAACTGAATCTCAGATGTGAACTGCTCTCTCTAATTTAGTTTTTATGGCTGATTTTATATATTCTCTCTTCTTAAAAGGCTACCAGCAAGAGCCGCTCAAGAAACAAACATTAGTTGTATAATTCATTTAAACGATAAATAAAAGTTATGACTTTTTCATCAACTGTGCCTCGTTTGAATTTGAAGTGTGTATAATTCCACTCGAAATTAAGACCCTTTGAAACCTCAAGTATATACTTAACATACCGTATAAAATGATCGATTAATCAGTCAGGACTGATATGTATGGATACAATTGTAGCTGGCATTGGCATGGTTTTGTTAAAAGAATGAAATGATTTGGAACCGACGTGAACTCTACTTTTAGCAAACTGTACTTTCTTCATTTAGTTTTACAGGAATATTTTATATATTTTTGAATCTTTTAGTATTGCTACATACGTTGTTATTCATACGTTACACGTCTGAGCTTTTAATACAATAAAACAATAATTTTGAACATTTTCTGATGCAATTATTTTATCGTAACAATAACAGTTTCGCTAAATAATTATCTAATCATTTCAACGACGTTTAATGCAAGTTTTATGCGATGTATTGAAATGAAATATTTCCAATAATCAAATAGGTGTTGCAACATAAGTCCATTTTAATATTATAATCATGGGCAGAAAATTCGGACATAATTAACATTCTACTTCCGCCTAAATTTGCATATGGTGTCAAAATAAAGCTTCGTGAGCTTATGGTAAAGTGTGATGTACACAGTACTAAACGCTAAAAATACACCTTTAGGTAGGTCGATTATAATTTGCCTTAATTGCTCGTTGCACAGCAAGTTAATCTTAATATTTTTATATAGTATTTCAAAATGTTTTATCAGTATTCGTCCTGCATTTTAAAAACAAAGTTTTGGTCATTTATCACGTTGAATACCATATAAAACGAAAACCGTAATAGCGTAGAAATAAAATGAAAATGCAGAGCCGACATAAACCTTTACCAGCAAAATATTACCTCAGGATCTTTAATATGACACGAGTTACAAGAAACAACCAGGGCAAATTGCAAAGATTTTCTTAAATTTTGCGAAATTTAAGAATGCGCAATATGATTTACAGTTCTGCAAACGAATAATATTTGAACAGATATGCAAATTTGCTACGGCAATCTGCATATTCCATGTCCGCAATTTCTGGCCATGGCGCCACACTGGTTTCGCCAGGTCACGCAGGATCGTAGCTAGAAGCTTAATTGGGGGGGGGGTGCATATTCATATATTCGTCCTATGCACGTCCGATTTCTTTTGTACGCTATTGTTCCTACGGAAGATAACCATGATTATATGAATATACAAACCCCTAATTAAATGGTCTAGCTACAGCCCTGTGCATGGTCACGTCTTAAAAATTAGCCATATCAAAGCGAAATTTACCCCAGAAAATATGATAGCTTGATTGCTCTGACATGTGGATAAACCAAATGGCCAACCGACACGATAGGTTCACGGGAAAAAAAAATCACGATTCATGTGGACAAAGAGAAAGGGTTGCGACAAAATAGGTTCACGTGACCAAAAATCACGATTCCCGTGGACAAAGAGAAAGGGTTGCGACAAAATAGGTTCACGTACGTGCGAACAAGTGCTAAAAATAGCAGAACTGGCATATTGAATTTGTCAAACGTCCCTTAGAGATGAACTAAGCGATAATTAAAATTCTCCCATATTTTGGGAGATTTTGCAATGTCACATGACCAAGCTTGACCAGCTAAAAGAGCCTGGCTTGCGACGTTGCAAGCACTTCTGCTTTGAAAAGCCGAGTGAATATGTCTGCCCAGAACTCTTTCTCGTCTTCATCAGCAAATGATGTTTGCATCAAGGGAGATAAGTATATTCCACCCTACGCAAACGATCCAGAGTCATACAAAGATCTTCGCAGAAGACAGGCTTTGAAGCGAGAGGAACTCTTGAAAAATTCAAAGCGTTTTCAAAGAATTAGCGAACGAGAGGACCGCACCGATGTGCCTTTGCAAGCTAGAATTAATACAAGTCTCGGAAAACATATACCAACCTACCGTGGTTTTGATATATGCAAGTGTCCCGTGGATTATGTTTTGTATCGGCAACTTTTTGAGCTTGTCAGACCGAAAACCGTGATCGAATTGGGAACTCTCTCAGGCGGTATGGCGGTATGGATATCTGACACACTTCGCTTGCTTGATGTCGAAGCCAATGTTTACAGCATGGATATCGATCCGAGCCATCGCAGCGAGCTGGTGAACAAGTTGAAGCCGAAGAATGTCACTTTCCTTCAAGGAGACTCGTATAAAATCGAAGAAACTTTCACAGACGAGTTCATGAAAAGCCTTCCCCACCCTTGGGTCTTCTCTGAAGATGCCCACGCCAACCTAGACGGTGTCTTAGAGCATTTTCATCGCTACATGAAAGAGGGAGATTACATGGTTGTCGAAGACACTGGCCCGGATCTTGTCTTGCAAGTTGATTCAAAAACCGACGATGGTAGCAGCGTCACTCCCGTGGGACCGAATCATTTGCAGTGTTTCAAAAGATTCTTACAAGACCACGAGGAATTCTACGCTGTGGACAGCTTCCTGACTGATATGTATGGATACAATTGTAGCTGGCATTGGCATGGTTTTGTTAAAAGAATGAAATGATTTGGAACCGACGTGAACTCTACTTTTAGCAAACTGTACTTTCTTCATTTAGTTTTACAGGAATATTTTATATATTTTTGAATATTTTAGTATTGCTACATACGTTGTTATTCATACGTTACACGTCTGAGCTTTTAATACAATAAAACAATAATTTTGAACATTTTCTGATGCAATTATTTTATCGTAACAATAACAGTTTCGCTAAATAATTATCTAATCATTTCAACGGCGTCTAAGGCAAGTTTTAAGGCATATATTGAAAAAAAAAGTTCGAATAATCAAATAGGCGTTGCGTTTTAATATTATAATACGCCTCATTGGTTTCGCATAGTCACGACATCAAAATTAGTCACATCAAAGCGAAATTTGCACTAGAAAATATGATAGCTTGATTGCTTTGACATGATCAACCAAATGGAAAAGTTCTGGGGTCAGAAATACCATAAAACAACACCAGGTTTCCATTAGGTGAACTTGCTTGATGTCGAAGCTAATGTGTGGAGCATAGATATCGTATTTAGGGGCTGTTTACATGAGCCCGGTTACCCGAGATTCAACGAAGCGTGAGAGGACTTTGAGGTATTGAAATAAGTCTTTATGACACCAAACAAGCACATGCTATTGTTGTGTTGATTATACGACTCCCAGGATCATGTTATCTGCTCGTTTCAATATCTTAATTAAAATCATCTCACGCTTAGTTGAATCTCGGGTAACCGAGCTCATGTAAACAGCCCGTTACTCGTTTGAGCGCTTTATAAACTTTTAGAGCTTCAGTTGCGGTGCTTATTCGAGAGCGGCGTTTAATCGAGGTCGGCGTTCTTTAAAAAATATTATCTGTAAATTGTAACAGGAACTTTAAACAAAGAGAATTGGAAGTCAAATGTAGCGAAATGTCCCCATTTTGACAGCGAGCTTTTTACAGAAAACAAGACGCCTGTTCTGGCGTTTACTCCAGCGTGCCGCGCACGTGCCAGTCTTCAATATAATGCTTCTGAACATAAATAATACAGTTCATATTCATTTAGATGCCTTGCTAACCTAAATGTTGTTCGATCGCGAAATTCAGAAGCACATCGTACTTTAAAAAGTATAGAAGTTCAATTGTTCAAAAATGTAAATAAACCGCATGATACATTCGCTTTGTCTTACACTTTGCCTTTGGAATTCGCGATTATATAGCGAGTTATATTAAATTTTCAATCCTGTGCAAACTGCGACGTGTCAACGCACCCATACACGGCCGCATCTTGTTAAAAGAGTTTTGTGCGATCCTTTGCATTCGCGGTTTTTCGCATCCTCGTCCCCAGGGTTTTTTCGCTGCAATGAATGCCATCTGCCTACTTGATGTTACACAGCACGTAACGGCTCGTGCGTGTCCTCTGAGAAATTCAGAACAAAATTCAGCGATGAATGAAATTAATCGAACGAAATTCGTAAAATGAAAGTATCATATTTTGACTAAAATGGGAGGAAAAAACCGAAATAAAAAGGCCAAGAGGCAAGATTCAGGCAGACACGATGAGGGCGAAGCTATACCAGGTAAAAATATCGTGAAAATATATGTTATTGCGAGGATAAAAATATTGTATTAATTTGTATTTTTACTATTTGTTTACAAACATTGAACCATCCAGGACAGAAAGTTTTCTTTCGCCTCCGCTAGTTTAATGATAGGGAATTCTTAAACTTTCAACAAGACGCCTGCTAAGGCGATCACTCGGGCTACAGTTATCTCGTAGTAACATGGCGTGTTCGTGACACCCGCGCGAGAAACGATCCTAGGACGATTTCGATTGGTTCAAAGACTTCGTGCCGCCCACGCGTGATTTTAGTAAGCTCGCGACGCAAAAGAAAAAACCGAGCCCATTTTACAACTCTGTCTACCTACGGTAGCCTGAGTAATTAGTCGGGCTGGTAGTGACACCGCGGAAATTGGTAGACTTAGCCGTAATTCTCAATACTTAGACTTTAAATTCGGCAAGCTAAAAGATTTATAAATACTCAACAAAATATCTCTTGCACAAAAGATTTGAAGCTTGCACACGGCAAAAACAAATCATCTGAAAATGTCTCAAAATGGCCATTTTACGGTGGCAGATGCATACGAAGAGCCTTCAAAAGTTTCCAAAACCGATATCGGAAGAAAAATTGAACTTGTTTTCAACTTATTTGATAGTATTTTCTTTGACAGCACTTTCTGAATACTAGGATTCAAATGTGAGCAACTGATGAGATATTTGACTTCCAACACCAATTTCTGCGGTGTCGCTGGTAGTTGCTAGCTAATGGACAAACTTGAAGTATTTTCGTTGTTACGAGAGATGGAATGACGCTAGTTTTAATAGGGCATCACACACACCAACAGGAGCAATTTCTTCCACAATTTCTTAAAGCAATCGCTGGCTTAATATAGCATTACATGCAATTCACTACAAGTTTTTCCTGGAGAGTTTTGGAAAGGCATGCTTCCCCTAGCCTATTTTGAAAGAGACAAACCTGGTTGAAAGCCTTTCTCCCTGTTTCTTAATGTTGAAGAGTGGATTAGTTAACCCTAATCCTAAAACCAACCCTAATCCTAACCTAGCCTTAAATTAAGAGTAATTTATAGTTAGTTGTTATTTGATTGATGTTCTTAGATCTGGTCTGATTGCATATATATTAAATGTTTACCAATGGATTTATAGGGTAGCTCATTAGGACGAAACTTGCGTTAACTGAGGGTACTTCTGCTGTGATGAATAAAATTAATCATCTGGTATTAGACAAAATGCTGAAGTAGGTCACACCTGGGTGCATTGCAAGCTAATGGGTTAAGAAGAGACACTGACAGATAGTTTTTGTTAACTCATTAACTGACAGTACTCTTCTACTGATGAGTAAAATAATCTCGCATTAGACAGAGTGAAATACTAAAGTAGGTCACATCTGGGTGCATTACAAGCTAATGGGTTAACAAGAGACAGTGACAGATAGTTTTGTTAACTCATTAATTGACATTACTCTTCCACTGATGAGTAAAATCATCTGGCATTAGACAGAGTAAAATACTAAAGAAGGTCACATCTGGGTGCATTGCAAGCTAATGGGTTAACAAGAGACACTGACAGAAAGTTTTGTTAACTTATTAACTGACATTACTCTTCCACTGATGAGTAAAATCATCATTTGCTGATGAAGACGAGAAAGAGTTCTGCTGTTCTGGGCAGACATATTTACTCGGCTTTTCAAAGCAGAAGTGCTTGGAACTTCGCAAGCCAGGCTCTTTTACCTGGTCAAGCCTGGTCATGTGACATTGCGAAATCTCCCAAAATATGGGACAATTTTAATTAGCGCTTAGTTCATCTCTAAGGGAGGGTTGACAAATTCAATATGCCAGTTCTGCTATTTTTAGCACTTGTTCGCACGTGAACCTATTGTGTCGCCACTCTTTCTCTTTGTCCACGTGAATCGTGATTTTTGTTCACGTGAACCTATTGTGTCGCAACCCTTTCTCTTTGTCCACGAGAATCGTGATTTTTTTTTACGTGAACCTATTTTGTCGGTTGGCCATTTGGTTTATCCACATGCATGTCAAAGCAATCAAGCTATCATATTTTCTGGGGTAAATTTCGCTTTGATATGGCTAATTTTGATGTCGTGACCACACAGCTGTAGCTAGACCATTTAATTGGGGGAACTCCGTACGAACAATAGGAAAATTCCGTAGGAACAATAGCGTACAAAAGAAATCAGTCGGGCATAGGACGAATATATGAATATACCCCCCCCCCAATTAAGCTTCTAGCTACGGCCCTGCGTGACCATGCGAAACCAGTGTGGCGTATTATAATATTAAAATGGGATTTATGTTGCAACACCTATTTGATTATTCGAAATATTTCAATTCAATATATGGCTTAAAACTTGCATTAAACGCCGTTGAAATGATTAGATAATTATTTAGCGAAACTGCTATTGTTAGGATAAAATAATTGCGTCAGAATATGTTCAAAATTATTGTTTTATTGTATTAAAAGCTCAGACGTGTAACGTATGAATAACAACGTATGTAGCAATACTAAAAGATTCAAAAATATATAAAATATTCCTGTAAAACTAAATGAAGAAAGTACAGTTTGTTAAAAGTAGAGTTCACGTCGGTTCCAAATCATTTCATTCTTTTAACAAAGCCGTGCCAATGCCAGCTACAATTGTATCCATACATATCAGTCAAGAAGCTGTCCACAGCGTAGAAATCCTCGTGGTTTAGTAAGAATCTTTTAAAACACTGCAACTGCTTCGGTCCAACGGGAGTGAAGCTGCCGCTTTCAGCGATTTTTAAATCAACTTGCAACACAAGATCCGGACCTGTGTCTTCGACAACCATGTAATCTCCCTCTTTCATGTAGCGATGAAAATGCTCTAAGACACCGTCTAGGTTGGCGTGGGCATCTTCAGAGAAGACCCAAGGGTGAGGAAGGCTTTTCATGAACTCGTCTGTGAAAGTTTCTTCGATTTTATACGAGTCTCCTTGAAGGAAAGTGACATTCTCCGGCTTCAACTTGTTCACGAGTTCACTGCGATTGCTCGGATCGATATCCATGCTGTAAACATTAGCTTCGACGTCAAGCAAGCGAAGTGTGTCAGATATCCATACCGCCATACCGCCTGAGAGAGTTCCCAATTCGATCACGGTTTTCGGTCTGACCAGCTCAAAAAGTTGCCGATACAATACATAATCCACGGGACACTTGCATATATCAAAGCCACGGTAGGTTGGTATATGTTTTCCGAGACTTGTATTAACTCTAGCTTGCAAAGGCACATCCGTGCGGTCCTCTCGTTCGCTAATTCGTTGAAAACGCTTTGAATTTTTCAAGAGTTCCTCTCGCTTTAAAGCCTGTCTTCTGCGAAGATCTTTGTATGACTCTGGATCGTTTGCGTACGGTGGAATATACTTATCGCCCTTGATGTAAACATCATTTGCTGATGAGGACGAGAAAGAGTTCTGAGCAGACATATTCACTTAGCCTCCTCCGCAGGCATCTCTGTATTTATATAAATACGTAAGAGATGCCTGCGGAGGAGGCTAATATTCACTCGGCTTTTCAAGTAAGTGCTCGACCGTGAAATAATTGCAAAATGTCAAAGCTCAATCAGACAATGCTTTCTCAGATTAGGATTAGAGTTTGGATTAGATCACGGTGGATTAGTTAACCCTAATCCTAAAACCAACCCTAATCCTAACCTAGCCTTAAATTCGTTATCATTACATTTACTTTATTTTGCATGAAATAAAATTCCTTAGCTGAAATTAGATTTAATTCCGTCGGAACACTCCAAATGTGGTATAACAACTGCCTAAAATATACGAAACCCTTCTCGACGTTTCAACCTGAGGGCCTTCGTCAGGAGAGTTAGTATGGTAACTCTCCTGACGAAGGCTCACAGGTCGAAATGTTGAGAAGTGTCTTATATTTTTGCTATAAATCATTTTCGCTTTTGCTAATTGCTTTTTAACTAATAGATTACAATGAACCGTTGTCTGTTCAGTTATAGATACACGGTATGACGTCATATGTGATAAGAACAAAAAAAGTGGCCACGAGCCGCCGGGGCTTAATAAAACTGAAAAAAATCCAAAATTAAACCGGTAAAAAGAAAATTGCTGTGACGTCATTCCGTGCGTCTGTCCTCTTATAGATCATGGCTCTCGACCAATGAAATTGCTTGAATTCTTTACGTTATTATATAAAATCCAATCGTTGTCCATTCGACGGCAATGAATACCTTTTCCGATTACTTGATGTTACACAGCACGTAACGGCTCGTGCGTGTCCTCTGAGAAAATTGGAACAAAATTCAGCGATGAATGAAAATTAATCGACGAAATTTGTAAAATGAAAGTATCATATTTTGACTAAAATGGGAGGAAAAAACCGAAATAAAAAGGCCAAGGGCAAATTCCCAGGCAAGAACACGAAATGGGGCGAAGCTATACCAGGTAAAAATATCGTCAAAATATATGTTATTGCGAGGATAAAAATATTGTATTAATTTGTATTTTTTACTATTTGTTTACAAACATTGAACCATCCAGGATAGAAAGTTTTCTTTCGCCTGCACTAGTTTAATGATAGGGAATTCTTAAACCTCCAATTAGTCGGGCTGGTAGTTCCTAGCTAATAGTCAAACTAGAAGTATTCTCGTTGTTGTACGAGAGATGGAATGATGGCAGTTTTAATAGAGGCATTGAGCATCACACGATGCACAAACAGAAGCAATTTCTTCCACAATTTCTAAAAGCAATCGCCGGCTTATCGCAGCATGAGTTGGAATTCACTACAAGTTTTTCCTAGAGAGTTTTGGGAAGGCATGCTTCCCCAGCCTATTTTGAAAGAGACAAATCTGGTTGAAAGCCTTTCTTCCTGTTTCTTAATGTTGAATATTAAGAGTAATTAATAGTTAGTTGTTATTTTATTGATTTTGTTAGATCTGGTCTGATTGCATGGATATTAAATAGTTACCAATGGATTTATAGGGTAGCTCATTAGTATGAAACTTTTGTTAGCTGAGGGTACTTGTGCTGTGATGAATAAAATTAATCATCTGGCGTTAGACAAAATGCTAACGTAGGTCACATCTGGGTGCATTGCAAGCTAATGGGTTAACATTAGAGACACTGACAAATAGTTTTGTTAACTTATTAACTGACAATACTCTTCCACTCATGAGTAAAATCATCTGACATATTAGACAGAGTAAAATGCTAAAGTAGGTCACATCTGGGTGCATTGCAAGCTAATAGGTTAACAAGAGACACTGACAGATAGTTTTGTTAACTTATTAACTGACAGTACTCTTCAACTGATGAGTAAAATCATCTGGCATTAGACAGAGTGAAATACTAAATATAAAGTAGGTCACATCTGGGTGCATTGCAAGCTAATGGGTAATTAAAAAGAGACACTGAGAGATAGTTGTCTTAACTCATTAACTGACAGTACTCTTCCACTGATGAGTAAAATCATCTGACATTAGACAGAGTAAAATACTAAAGTGGGACACATCTGGGTGCATTGCAAGCTAATGGGTCAACAAGAGACACTGACAGATAGTTTTGTTAACTCATTAACTGACAGTACTCTTCCACTGATGAGTAAAATCATCTGGCATTAGACAGAGTAAAATACTAAAGCAGGTCACATCCGGGTGCATTGCAAGCTAATGCATTAACAAGAGACACTGACAAAGTAGGCCACATCTGGTATATTTTTTAAACAGTTTGAGGCACATTTTTCATCAATAAAAATCATCTGACATACTGACTCATTTCTTCACAGGCAAGTGTTCTCACATTCAAGAGTGTGTGAAAGTAACAAACTTGAAAAATGACATTCCTCATGCTGATCTATCAAAGTGCCTGGAATGTGAGAAACTACCCCCAGAAGATGACAAGAAATTAGAAGGTGGAAAAGGCAATGATAATGACATACCAGACCCTTCACAATCCACTGAGGAACCTACTATCTGTGTATGCTTACGCTGTGCAAATATTGTAAGTATCCAGCTCATTTTATGATGACCCATTCTTACCCCATTATCTTTAGTATTTTACTCTGTCTAATGTCAGATGATTTTACTCATCAGTGGAAGAGTACTGTCAGTTAATGAGTTAACAAAACTATATTTGGTGTCTCTTGTTAACCCATTAGCTTGCAATGCATCAAGATGTGTCCTACTTTAGTATTTCACTCTAATACCAGATGATTTTACTCATCAGTGAAAGAATACTTTCAGTTAAAGAGTTTACAAAACTATCTGTCAGTGTCTCTTGTTAACCCATTAGCCTGCAATGCACCAAGATGTGTCCTACTTTAGTATTTCACTCTAATACCAGATGATTTTACTCATCAGTGGAAGAATACTTTCAGTTAAAGAGTTTACAAAACTATCTGTCAGTGTCTCTTGTTAACCCATTAGCTTGCAATGCACCCAGATGTGACCTACTTTAGTATTTTACTTTGTCTATAATGTCAGATGATTTTACTCATCAGTGGAAGAGTACTCACAGTTAATAAGTTAACAAAACTATCTGTCAGTGTCTCTTGTTAACCCATTAGTTTGCAATGCACCCAGATGTGACCTACTTTAGTATTTTACTCTGTCTAATGTCAGATGATTTTACTCATCAGTGGAAGAGTACTGTCAGTTAATGAGTTAACAAAACTATCTGTCAGTGTCTCTTGTTAATCCATTAGCTTGCAATGCACCCAGATGTGACCTACTTTAGTATTTTACTCTGTCTAATACCAGATGATTTTATTCATCAGTGGAAGAGTACTGTCAGTTAATAAGTTAACAAAACTATCTGTCAGTGTCTCTTGTTAACCCATTAGCCTGCAATGCACCAAGATGTGTCCTACTTTAGTATTTCACTCTAATACCAGATGATTTTACTCATCAGTGGAAGAATACTTTCAGTTAAAGAGTTTACAAAACTATCTGTCAGTGTCTCTTGTTAACCCATTAGCTTGCAATGCACCCAGATGTGACCTACTTTAGTATTTTACTTTGTCTATAATGTCAGATGATTTTACTCATCAGTGGAAGAGTACTCACAGTTAATAAGTTAACAAAACTATCTGTCAGTGTCTCTTGTTAACCCATTAGTTTGCAATGCACCCAGATGTGACCTACTTTAGTATTTTACTCTGTCTAATGTCAGATGATTTTACTCATCAGTGGAAGAGTACTGTCAGTTAATGAGTTAACAAAACTATCTGTCAGTGTCTCTTGTTAATCCATTAGCTTGCAATGCACCCAGATGTGACCTACTTTAGTATTTTACTCTGTCTAATACCAGATGATTTTATTCATCAGTGGAAGAGTACTGTCAGTTAATAAGTTAACAAAACTATCTGTCAGTGTCTCTTGTTAACCCATTAGCCTGCAATGCACCAAGATGTGTCCTACTTTAGTATTTCACTCTAATACCAGATGATTTTACTCATCAGTGGAAGAATACTTTCAGTTAAAGAGTTTACAAAACTATCTGTCAGTGTCTCTTGTTAACCCATTAGCTTGCAATGCACCCAGATGTGACCTACTTTAGTATTTTACTTTGTCTATAATGTCAGATGATTTTACTCATCAGTGGAAGAGTACTCACAGTTAATAAGTTAACAAAACTATCTGTCAGTGTCTCTTGTTAACCCATTAGTTTGCAATGCACCCAGATGTGACCTACTTTAGTATTTTACTCTGTCTAATGTCAGATGATTTTACTCATCAGTGGAAGAGTACTGTCAGTTAATGAGTTAACAAAACTATCTGTCAGTGTCTCTTGTTAATCCATTAGCTTGCAATGCACCCAGATGTGACCTACTTTAGTATTTTACTCTGTCTAATGTCAGATGATTTTACTCATCAATGGAAGAGTATTGTCAGTTAATGAATGAACAAAACTATCTGTCAGTGTATCTTGTTAACCCATTAGCTTGCAATGCACCTAGATAATATTCTACAAACTAAAATATGTTCATTGAATTCTAGGGATGCTCTCGTCAGTCAAAACATCAACATGCAATTCAACATTACACCACAAAGAATGGTCATCCTTTGGTTGTTAATCTGTCCAGTTGGATGATATGGTAAATATAATTTGGACCAATAATACCTGAGACCCAATACTAATTTGAACTTTGAAGTGTGTATATTTAACAGCGCTTGGCATTTTTTTAATTTTTAAGGTGTTACAAATGTGATAACGAAATTAATGTCAGTGACAATTCTGTGCTGGGCGAATGCTTGGGAATTTTAAAAAGAGCTTTACATGTAAAAATTGGGAAAGTTGCAAACCAAAAAGGTATATATACATCATTGCAAGTCATATGTATCAATTTACAAGCAAATACTGCAGAAGCCTGCTTTTAACCATTAATTTAAACCCTGAAACTACCACTTATTCTGAACTACAGATTTTCATATATTCAAGCTGTTAGTGAATTACTCAAGATGTTTATCCTGTTAACCAGTGTCAAAAGGGCTTTATATTTTCTTGAAAGGCTTGATTTAAATTCATGAAAAGCTCAAAAACTATTTTATAAAGTGCTTTCTGAATTAGCTCAACTTTCAACTTTGAAGCAAACATCATTTTCGTATTTACTTTCCAAATGTACATACAGTAGCTTCTTCCCAAGTCAATTAAAGCTTTGTGATATTTTCAAAACGTTGTTACTTCCTAATTCATAAGCAATCCTAAATAAGTTAGCAGATTTAACTATCTACGCACACAACAATAAGTCCATATCGTGATCAATATCGACTAAAAACAAGATACCGGTACTCACAAAGCCAAAGGCAATAAAAATCTACTCCGACCTCGGGTGTCTAAAACAAACTTTCACATGTTGTTCATATTTATGCCTTTAGACCAGAAGAACCATCCACAGAAAAAACCCGCTTCAAACATTTACACACTTTCTAGCAAATCTGCTGTGAAGGGTTTGTCAAATCTCGGAAACACATGCTTCTTTAATTCCGTAATGCAGGTAATTTAATACATGGAAACTCGCGACGAATGATTTAAATAACAAATACAAACCGCCATTTTGAATTCTTTGTCACCTTCAAGTTCAGGTCTCTCCTTTTGAAATTTGTATTTCCGACTATTTATTTGAACTATTTCAAGGAGATAGTACATGTCCGGAAAGAATGTACTAAAATCAGTAAAACGCTGAAGTTTCGTTGCGAAATGTTGTAAAATACGGACAATGTTGCCTTGCAAAGTTCGACGATTTTGTTGAATTGCTTTTGCTTCCGGACTAGATATATTCACGCCTAAAAAACACTATTTTTAATTTTGCATTCTAGACCAGTTTTCATACAAAATGGAGCAAATAAATCGCCACAGTTGTAGAAAAGCATGTTAAAACTAGAAAAAAAGCTAAGTTTGGTTGTGAAATTTCGAAAACACCGGAAAAATTTAGGCTAGTAGGTTTTTTCAAATTATTTTACACAGCGAAAATGGCGGGAATTTTCGCGCCAATAACGAAGTATACAAGACGTTTCAACTTTGCAAGGCTATATTTTCCTTATTTTACAATATTTCGCGACAAAACTTTGTAATTTATCTAAGTTTAACAAGCTCTTTCCCGTTGTGGCGATATATTTGAATCTCAGCTTACCTCTAGATGAAAAATTACACGGAAATACAAATTGCCTATCCCAAATTCTCAATTCCCTTTATGCGTTCATTGAAAATGTGATAATTTCTTTTTAAGAGTCTTTGTCAAAGTGAGTTACTTCGCGTTGCAATGGTCAATTTAAAAGAAGGAGGTTTTAACTATTCAATTTCGCCTCTGTCAAACAACACGGATTTTGTAAGTGAAAGCTATCCATATTTTGCTCGAACATAAAGTACAGACAAAGAAATGAATGATTGGAACTGTCGTCAGTGTCATGTTAGAATATAACCGTTGTCTTCCACAGGAAACTCTTTCCGTGACGGTTACTGATAAACCAGGTCCACTTACGTCGGCTTTGGGTAAATTTCTCGAAGATATGAAATCAGAGGGCAAGAAAAACGTCGTCAACCCTGGATACTTGTTTAGCGAAATTTGCAAAAAGTAGGTTCACGAAAGTATAGCTTGTTTCTGTTCACTTTAAACTAACTCGATTATATTGGTAAAGATCGTCTATTGAGTATTGATCCAGTGTTACTACAGGAGGAAACCTAGACTAAACTAACCTTATTTATACTGGATAGCTCTATCAGTTCTAAACTGTTCTTCCTAGAGGTCCAGTAAGGATCATCTATTATTGATCCAGTGTTACTACAGGAGGAAACCTAAACTAAACTAACTTTATTTATACTGGATAGCACTATCATTTCTAAACTGTTCTTCCCAGAGGTCCAGTAAGGATCATCTCTTATTGATCCAGTGTTACTACAGGAGGAAACCTAAACTAAACTAACTTTATTTATACTGAATAGCTCTATCAGTTCTAAACTGTTCCTCCTAGAGGTCCAGTAAGGATCATCTCTTATTGATCTAGTGTTACTACAGGAGGAAACCTAAACTGAACTAACTTTATTTATACTGGATAGCTCTATCAGTTGTAAACTGTTCTCTTTTAAGAAAGCCGGCATTTATATTTCTTCCAGAGCTCCAAGATTCAAAGGTTTCAGGCAACAGGACAGTCAAGAGTTACTTCGTTATCTTCTCGATTCGGTTCGTACGGAAGAAATCAAGGTTCGTATTGAACTTCAATTTCCCTCCCGATCACAAGAGATTTGAAGTTACCTTTCACAATTCGTTTTCAGGGGGTGAAGCGAGCCATTTTGCTTTCGTTTAATGTTAAAAGTCCTGACAATAAAGAAGGAGTTAGCGCTGAAAAAATTGATGAAAATCTTCATGAAAAGATAAGAGGTGAGCACAACAGTACGTTAATGAGACGATCTTTACTGGACCTCTAGGAAGAACAGTTTAGCACTGATAGAGCTATCCAGTATAAATAAAGTTATTTTAGTTTAGGTTTCCTCTTGTAGTAACACTGGATCAATAAGAGATGATCCTTACTGGACCTCTAGGAAGAACAGTTTAGAACTGATAGAGCTATCCAGTATAAATAAAGTTAGTTTAGTTTAGGTTTCCTCCTGTTGTAACACTGGATCAATAAGAGATGATGCTTACTGGACCTCTAGGAAGAACATTTTAGAACTGATAGAGCTATCCAGTATAAATAAAGTTAGTTTAGTTTAGGTTTCCTTCTGTAGTAACACTGGATCAATAAGAGATGATCCTCGGTCTTACTGGACGTCTAGGAAGAACAGTTTAGAACTGATAGAGCTATCAAGTATATGTTAGAAGTTTACTATGATACCCTGCAGTATTTAATACCGTTGTGTGTTGTATTTCAGTGTATGGGAGAAGCATAAATGCCCCTGTAATTGATACACTTTTTGGTGGACAGCTTGTAAGCTCTCTGGAGTGTCGAACATGTCACAAGGTAAGAAACCAAAGTATTAAAACGATTCATTTTTGACCCTTTTTTATTCAAAATGATTGTATTGTTCAATCCAACTAGTCTTATACATGTTACGCTTTATACCCAAACCTCGACGAGTGATTTGGCATTAGACAGAGTAAAATACTAAAGTAGGTCACATCTGGGTGCATTGCAAGCTAATAGGTTGACAAGTGACACTGACAGATGATTTTGTTAACTTATTGACTGACAGTACTCTTCCACTGATGAGTAAAATCATCTGACATTAGACAGAATAAAATACTAAATTAGGCCACCGATCTGGGTGCATTGCAAGCTAATGGGTTAACAAGAGACACTGACAGATAGTTTTGTTCACTCATTACCTGACAGTACTCTTCCACTGATGAGTAAAATCATCTGGCATTAGACAGAGTAAAATACTAAACTATAAAGTAGGCCATATTAGTCAAATTGCAACGTAGAGCGACTTGATAGCGGATTTTTTTCAATGTAATAATATCTTGTAGGTTTCAACCATCAAAGAAAGTTTCTTTGATTTGTCTTTGTCGTTGGCGACAAACCAGAGTGTTGTATCTTCAGTAAGTGCATTGATCACAGATCATATTTGTGTTGTGATTGAAATTATTGCGATTTCCATTTGAGCGTGGAATTGCGAAAGTTTGTTGATTAAGATTTGTAGTTTAAAAAGCAATGTTTGTGACGTCATGTAATAATGTTACCAGGTGACGCTGACCAAGTTGTCAAGGAAAAAAAAGCGGTCAAGTTTTTGACTAACGGCTATAAATAGATACTGTAAAAATAGCGGCTAATAGTCGCTATACATATCTTCTATTTACAGTCACAAAATTGACAGTTTTTCTTGACAACTTGGTGCGCGTCGCCTAACAACATTTGCGAGCTTAAGATGCGACAACGCGCGCTGATGACGCGGCCGACCGGAAGTAAATTTTCCAATTTTTGCTGACTGATAAATTTTCCAATTTTTCCAATTTTTGACGACGGCCGCGTCGTCAGCGCGCGTTGTCGCATCTTAAGCTCGCTTAAATCATCTTAAGGGTGATTTAGCACGAGGACGTGAACGTCAAAGACGACGTGAAAATGGCGAATAAATGGCGTGATGCGCCCAAATATGGACATGCCACGCCATTTACTCGCCATTTTCACGTCGTATTTGACGTTCACGTCCTCGTGCTAAATCACCCTATTATTAGATGACGTCACGAATATTGCTCTCAAACCACAAAACGTAACGAACAAACTTTCGCAATTCCACGCTCAACTGGAAATCGCAATACCATGCGGGGGGAACCGTATTTTCATTTTTCAACATCTCATTTCTCGTAACATCCGTTTAGAAACCAGGAAATACAGCGTCTGCAACAAAGAAAAAGCCAGCACCAGCTCCTGTTCCGCAAAAACCGAAGCCTAAAAATGCAAGAAATATACAAGAGGAAAAACCGAAGCCAGTTGCTGTTCTTTCAAAACATCAGAGGAAGAAGATGGAAAAAGAGAAGAAGAAGGTAACTCTGTAAAAGACACATGATATGGTCTTGGTAAACTCGTATTCAAAAGCTCAACGACTAAAGGCTAGTTTCCACTCGGGAAAAATCTTCTTTGGATCGGAACGGACAGGAAAATCTCCTTTGTTGGTGAGTTCTCAGGCGGCGTTTATACAAAGGAAACTTTCCTGTCCTGTCCGATCCAAAGGAGAATTTTCCTGAGTGGAAACTAGCCTTAAGAGTTTTGGCTGATGGCGTAAACAAACAACGCGCGAGAATGACGAATCTCGTAGTCACTGATAGAGCTCGCTAATGTGACAGCCGCAGGGCATCAAACGGCGCCTGGTTACGAGGCTGTTTAAGAATGAACTTTTTTGTTCTCATTGCTTTTTTTAGAATAAAAAAAATCAGCGAAAACGCCAGAATAGCACATCGAGTACAGGCAGGCGACAAAGTGAGGGTGACAAGGAGTTAGATAAAGATGACAATACCAATCTACCTGATGACGTCACCGAAACCCCAGCTGATGACATCACCGAGACTGCTAATGATCACGTCACCGAGACTGCTAATAAAGACGTAATCGAGACTGCTAATAATGACGTCATCGAGACTGCTAATAACGACGTCATCGAGACTGCTAATAATGACGTCACTGATGCAGCGGTTGCTAACCCCGTTAATGGAGATGTTATCAAGGAACATGATGTAATATGTAATGGAAATAATAACGAAAATGATGCAGTAATCAAGTTGTCGGATTCCAATGATGACGTCAGTCCGATGTCACAAGATGACGTAATCGAAACATCTTCGGGTGATCACGTGACCCAGTGTAAAGATGGAAAGGAGATTCCCCCTCCTGGGAACAGTGATGAAGAGCTTTCACAGAGCTTGAATACGGTTCATATTTTTGAAAACGGGGAAGCAATTAGTGAACGATCAACAAGCGACCATGAGGTTATAAATGCATCGGACGAAGGCCAAACAAGTCACGAATATTTGGTTAAAGGTGGCGGTTGTATGACTGAGGAGAACAACGGGAATTCGAGCGATGTTGATACAGTAAACAAAGTTAGTTTGGGTCGTTTTGACAACGGAGAAAATGACTGCAACAATACTTCACTAATACCCTCAAATCTACGCTACAATTCTGATGTCGATGTTTCGATTGAAGATAACGGCGTCGATCCTACGGTAAATAGCAAAACAGCGCATCTTAGACCCAGTTGTGAATCTAATTGCGATCAATCTTCGGAGGGTAAAACGGAAATCCATTCTCATAATGAAAAAGAACGTACCACAACAAGAAATGACATATCAGAGCAATCCATATCAAAAGAATTGTCAGATTTCTTGCAAGACGAAGGCATTGACAATTTGAATAAAAAACATGGATATTCTGATTTTGAAACCACTATTGTAAAGAATAACTTAGGAGACTTGTCTTCGGATTCATCCCCAAAATATAACGGAATGGTTGAGGACGAATGTGATGATAGCATTGAAAATGAACCAGTAACATCGTTCACATTGTGCCACAGCGGGAAGTCAAAAGGACGCGAAGATATTCAGGCTTATGCGAAACGGATGGTGGATGATGCAATTGAGATGTGTATTCGAAATATAGCGTCGACTTTACTATCGAAAGAAGATACCTCGAAAGATGAAGATGACGTTTCTTTTGAACGCGAAAGTACGGCAAATGAAGAGCATATTGAAGATGGTATTTCCTTCAAAGCAAGCGACGTCAATGGGAAAATATCTGACGGTGAAAACGATCGCCCTGTTGAAGATATCTCGACCTGTTTCTCAATTGGAATTAATAATGTTGAACAAGGTTTTGTGCAGGAAAATACAGCTTCGATAACCTCGACGTCGAACGAAATGGATTGTAATGGAAAAGTCGACGAAGATTTCGACCAACTTTGCAGTGAAACAAATAGCTCGTATTCTGGCCAGTTGAAGCTAAACACAAGCATTTCTTCGCCTGAATGCGAGGGGATTGATGGTTGTTATATTTCTAGAAACGAAGATTCACAAAATAGGCATGCAATGAACGATATCTCTGACACAATTGAAGGTAACCCAGCCGTTCCACAGCGTTCAGCAAGCAACGAAGATAAAATTCGAGAGTTTTCCGACAGATTTGTTGACAATGAACTGAAACAATTTGTGAATATTCGTTTATCAACAGAGCTTGACAATTTAACCGAAAATACTTCCGGAGAAGTAGCATCTGAGTTTGCGAAAGTAGAAAATAAAGAAAACAAGTGTTTTGTTGGCTCAGAAAATCTCGAATCGAATTCGACAAGTGTTCTGCAGGTTGATACGGCTTCAATTCGTTCTGAATCCGAGATATTATGCGGAAATCATTCCCTGGGGAATATGGACGCCATCAAAACGAACGCATTGTGTGTTGAAAGTTGTTTGAAGAAATTCTGTAGTCCAGAAATTCTCGAGGGTGATAATATGTTCATTTGCGAAAAATGTAATGAAACTAAAGAAGAAAGTGTTGATGGAAATGACGATATGGACGGTGATGATGATGATGATGATAATGATGATAAAGGTAATGGTAATCTAGTGGTTTACATCAGGTGTTTTGTAATCTAGGATCAGTCTTGTATATTTCCACCGTAGTTCGGCATTGTATGACACGGGGAAACTTGAAGGTATAGCCGAAATTCGTTATACTTAGACTTCAAATTTGGTCAGCAAAATGATTTATAAATGCCCAAGAAAATATGGCTTGCATAAGCTTGCACACGGCAAAAACGAATCGTCTGAAATAATAACCTTGTGTATACTTTAAGCCTCAAAATGTCCATTTCACAGCTGTCAGATGTGTATAATGAGCTGTCAAAAGATTGCAGAATGCGTATTCAGAAGAAAAATTTAACTTTTTAAAGTTATTCAATAGTTTTCTCTTTGATAGCGATACAGAAATACACAATTGTGAACCAGCGATTAGATTTTCGAACTGAAACTTCATAATTATAAACACCAATTTTCTGTGGTGTTTCTTGCATTGCATTTAGACGACAAACTGCCTTGAATGAATCGATTTTGTCCTTCCATGTTTTTAAACTATTTCTTGATCTACTGATTTCTTCGCAAAAGTTAGCAACAAAAATCAAAGTGTGTACCACACACTTAAATTTTCGTCGCACGATGTTAAAGTTTAAATTTTCCGAAGAAAAATATTTTAAAATGCGATGTATCCAGTTATAAATTGATTCGTGCCCCCACCCCCCGTGAAATATCATTCCAGTTGCATTAGAGTTCAGTGGTTGAATCTGCTTACCTTTTAAGATGAATCCAAGAAAGAGGAGACCAAACGGAAACCAGTTTACACTGAGGCTGTGAAGCAGCTTCTCATCGACAAAGCTCCGCCAATTTTGACTCTTCACTTGAAAAGGTTCCATCAGGTCGGGTATTCCCTGAAGAAGATTGCAAAACACGTTGATTTTCCATTGGTCTTGGACATTTCGCCGTTCTGTCACAAATCTGGCAAGGTGAGGACCATGTTTCTGTAAGGGAAATTGAACAAATACCTTAGTCATGATGTATATATACTTTGATCAATAAGAGATAATCCTTTAGAACTGATAGAGCTATCCAGTATAAATAAAGTTAGTTTAGTTCAAGTTTCCTCCTGTAGTAACACTGGATCAATAAGAGATGATCCTTACTCGACCTCTAGGAAGAACAGTTTAGAACTGATAGAACTATCCAGTATAAATAAAGTTAGTTTAGTTTAGGTTTCCTCCTGTGGTAACACTGGATCAAAAAGAGATGATCCTAATTATTGGACCTCTAGGAAGAACAGTTTAGAACTGATAGAGCTATCCAGTATGATATTAGTTTAGTGTAGAGTTCCTGTGCAACACGGTCATAAATATAAGATGAATCCTTTTTTATTTTCACCATTTTGTTTTTAGTTTGCGACAGATTGCAACGGCAAAGTTCTCTATGCCCTATTTGGAGTTGTCGAACATTCGGGTAATTTGCACAGCGGTCACTACACAGCCTTCTGCCGCGTCCCTACAGTACCGTCGTCGCTTTTCGAAAAAAAGTTCGAAAGTTTGACCCGCCTTTTGGAGGTGATTGAGCAAATGTGGACACAGGGTGGTAACCGTGAAACTAGGGTACACGAGGGACTTCCTAGCTCGAGATGGTTTCATATTAGTGACAGCGTGGTGTCCGAGGTGAGCCTGGAGCGAGTTTTAAAAGCACAGGCCTATCTGTTGTTTTATCAACGAATGGTTTTGAGCCACGGTGGAGAGTGCTAAGACTGTGTGAAATATTCCTGAAAGCTCTGACCGCATGATTTTGACTGGATAGCGCAGCACACCGAACGTGTAATTAATTTAAATTTAGCGTTAAGCCGGTTTTCCACTAGCGATATTTTTAGCGCGAAGCGACTTTATTCCTTTGTATTTGAGCAATTTGTTCCAGATGGTTGCAGTTGAGAGCTCTAAAACAAAAGTAAAACGTCGCTTCACGCGAAAAATATCCCTTGTGGAAAACCAGCTTTACATACAATTTTTCCTGCAACTTGCAATACATTTCTACTTTTAAGAGATGTAAATTAGTGAAGAGTCTTCTAAGCTAAGTGAAAGGAACGTCAATGGAGTGTAATTATTATTGATTAGTGTAATTAAGATGTCGTAGTTGCCAAATTTGCATCCCTCACCGTGTAATAGAGCCTTCTTTACTTTTCAGACAGACAATACACAGCTAAGCCAAAATAATTTATGATATCATAAAAGTCATTCCTTTTTCTTTCAAATTTGCACAAAAATGGCGGACTCGCAACGTTCATGAAAGTCATCGATAAGCAACAATGAGGCATATGAAAGACGCAAACTGCCACTAACATGATCATCCAAAGAAATGTAATAGTTTATCTATTTTCCAAATATTCGCCAAAGACATTGTGTGTGGTTTTCAACTTATGCATTTACTATTTTAAATTGCACCCAATCCCGCCTTTAATAGTCGACTTTAAAGAGTCGCTATAGGTCGGTACATAGTGGTGAAATTAGGGTAACAACGGGATAGAAAAGGTGTCAGAGAGGTAACAACTAAAACAGTGCCGAAGGGGTTAAAAATGGGTAAAGGGGATCGGAAGGGTAACAAAAGGGGCGCGGAGGAGAGAAAAAGGCAAGAAAGTGATTGCCACTAATTATCATAAGGTGCACAGTGAGCATTTGCTCCAGATCACAGTCCAGAATTACGATTCCATGTTTACGATTCCAGAACTACGTGCCTTCCATGTGACAATTTATAAACAAACACCAGCCCGTGTGAAAGACGCGTGAAATATATTTCACCCAAGAGATTATTGTCGTTGCTTTAAACACATAATTTGTGGAAAGATTCGAAGGATATTCTAATACAGACTTTATCCGCATCGATTATAATATATTTGGTCGAAATATTTCATTATTATGACCGACTTTTCATGGTATAAAGCATCACTTTATTCGAACTCATTTCCATATAATGTAATAAGATATTCCTACCAACATAAACACAACCAATTGCAAGTCAGCATTTGAACAAGACGTCAATGACCTTTTAACACCAGAGAAAGACTAGCAAATTCCTGTCTGCGAAAGACGCTTTAAACACTTTATAAGGGAGCGATATTTGTCTGCTTTTCTAGCGGATCAATATATTACAAGCAAACACACAGACTTCTCCAAGAACAAACACTGTATCTATATTCAGTCTATACAGCGAGGTTTATACTACAGAACGACAAACAACACAGAACTTGCTTTATTATTGCGACACAAGAACGACTTGAAATATGGCTTCATATATACAAGGCTACGATGAAGAAAGGTTTGTGGACAAAATCAATCAAAATTTTCATTGTCAGATTTGCTTCAACGTCTTGAAAGAGCCGGTTATGTGTTCACGAAACCAGCATTCTTTTTGCCGTTGTTGTATTACGAAACATCTGGAAAATTCCCAAACATGCCCAACGTGTGCTGATCAACTGACGGTAGAGACTTTGGCCGAAGCACCGCGAATGGTTAAAGATTTTTTGAATGAATCAAAAATTCGTTGCGTTTACATCGACAGAGGTTGTCAAGAAGTTGTAGAATTACAGCATCTTGACCGCCACGAAGATACATGTGGATATACACCAGCCGTTTGTACAAACCAAGGCTGTGGTTTAATTGTCAACAAGCGTGTTCTTATTCACCATGAAAGTGAAGTCTGCGAATTCCGAAAGTTGAAGTGTCACTCGTGTGGAGAAATCACGAAAATTTTGGCAGATATGGAGGAAAGGATGGGGAATATGGAGACAAATATCGAAAACAACACAGAAAGGCATAAAACAATTGAAGCTAAAATAACTAATTTAAAGAGAAATATGGAGGGAAGACTCGAAGCGGTTAACAACAATGTCGACGGATTGAAAACAGCTTTGATCCAAGCTTTTAATGAAATGAAGGACGTTCTCATCACGATGGAGGGCAAGAAAGAAGAAAGCAAAAAAATAGTAAAAAGTAAACCAAGTGGTGATAAAGAAAATGTAATTGTTGCTGGAGGTTCAGGAACTAACTCAGTAGAGATGTTTAACTGGCGTCAAAGAACGTGGTGGCCATTACAATCAATGCCAGAGAATCGGTGGGCAGCGACCTCTTTTATTCATAATAATCATATGACTATAGTTGGGGGTTTCTGTGGTCAGACTGAAATTGTTCTTGATACGATTAGAATGAATATTGACCCAAACCCTGATCATTTAACACGCTGGAGTGACTGTCCGTTCACACTACCCAAGTTGTGGTACCAGAACAGTGTGCTGTATATTGATCAGTTAATGGTTTTAGGTGCTAGTGATTTGATCATCAGAGCAGTCCAGCTTGTTCCTCCCTATACTGTGAAGACCTTATTAAGAATACCAGAACCAAGATACAATCACAGCATGAAAATATTTGATGATAATTTGTTGATAGTTGGTGGAAGTTTACCCGGCGGATGCAAAGACAACCTCAGCAGTGTCTTACTGTACGATATAAAGAAGAATGAGCTGAAACAGTTGTCACCACTGCCGTATGAGGTGAGTGATATGGCAACTGTGAGGTGGGGAGACAACATCGTTGTTATTGGTGGCGTTGACAAACATGGCAATGAATTAGATACAGTTATCATTTACAACGTCAAGACAGAACAAAGTCACATGCTGCCATCAATGAGATCTAAGAGGAGGGGATGTACTGCAGTTGTTATTGAAAACAACATTGTAGTCTTGGGAGGGTTGGGTGAACAAGGAGACCTGAAGTCAGTTGAAGGTTTCAATTTTGAAAGGTATTCTTGGGAAGAACTTCCAGAAATGTCTGAAGCAAGATGCTGGCACACTGCTGTTGTTGTGTAAACGATATAAGAATGTTGAACTCATCCATTATTTGGTTTGTTCATTGACAATGATCATATCACGAAGCAATAGACTAAAGGACTAATACCTGATAAATTGTATTAAAATAGACTAGAATATACCTTGAAAAATACCAATGATTGAAAGTCATGTACGAATGATTAAAAAGAAATAAATTGCCAGTGAATAAAGAAAGATATTTTATTTCAACGATATGACTTTAAACAGGGCCTTGTTTCAACTGATGGACACCCGGTTTAACAGACTGGAAAATATTCAGTAAGAAATATACATTATAATATAACATTTATAGTACGCGCATGCTCATTGGTCGAGAAGCGTGTTTCTATAATTGTATAGAAACACGGGAATTTTCCCGCCAAACTTGACAAGCGAAGCGATGTAATGAGAATTTGTAATTGAATCGAATTATAAACTATTTTCTATCCACCACAAGTCACGATAGCGCGAGGTAACTCAGCATTTGAACACAAAACAAATGTTTATTGATGATAATCGTGAATGACTTAATTGCATGTCTATCAGAATATCCAAGAACGACAATCAAAATCGTTTAGAGACAGTTATAATCAAATTGATCTGCCAGCGAATCAAAATACTAAAATGAGCCAGCCAATCAAATCGTGAATAAGCCAGCCAATCAAAGTGAATCTCTAAAACTACCACATAAGAACAATTGCTGAAGGAAGTTTCTTTTTATACTTTGTGATTTCTCGTTGAAGTCTCGCTTAAAATTGTGGCACCGCAAAGCTCAGGTAAATCTATTTTTCAATACCTTGCAATCGTGTTAATTTCTAAAAATTAACTATCAGCTTCTTTTTTATCATCAAGGTTTCTGTAACTCAACATGATTTTCAAAGTATTACTGCTCGCTGTAATTGCGGTTTGTCAGGTAGGCTCTGATATTATCTATATAGTATGCAATAGACTCACTTGAAGTATTTATGAAGAGCGTTGTTTCAACTGAGATATTTTATACAATCCCTAGTGATTTAGACCTCAGCAATGACTCGGGAAAACATGGAGAAAGTTAATTTTACCTACAATATTATTTGAGTTAGTATTTCATAATCCTAAGCAGACGATAACACTTATCGTTTGTTACCCCAGTCGACTAATAGGCAACGCAGAAGAAATTTCACACGATCTACATAATTCGAGAGAATTACGGCTAGTTCCGTTAGTGCTTCACTTCGACCATGAAATGTCAAACGTATATGTTCATAAGTGAACTCTAATAAATACATGAATGCATACAGGTGTATTTTTATGCTTTGTACAAACGTATTAAATGTGCTGGGCAATCTGGAGGACAAATATCAACAAACAAGACGTGCTCCACCGTTGTACTACTTTTCAACATGATAGCTAGCTTACTCAAGGCCTACACAACCCTCAGAATACAGAGCTTTCTATACTAAATTCCGCAACTAAAAATACAACACAATTCAGGAGCCATTCAAAGTGAGTACTTTAACGAGTATATATATGAGGTTTATACAAGCTGCGACATATACAAGGCTGTTCACCATTAATTCCAAACGAAAACCATTCAATTAGACAGAGCGTTATATAGCTTTAAAATTACTCAATGTTGACATATATTATTAACTAATCTTTTCAAATCTCGATATGTTAAATTTGCATATATCTTTGTCTACAAATACTATCAGCAGGGTCATTGTGTTTGGAAGTGGCAAGTATACTTTTCCCGTGAAATTTGTAAGAAATGTTTTGTCGTAAATGCTTCTGGACAAAGATGTTAATTTACGCTTTTAAAAGAACAGTTGTCAAAATATCATTTTCGTCTGAACAGGGGTTATATATTTGTAGACATTCAAGCAGGAAATTATATCATAACTCAGCACAATTGTTCATTTGTTTGCATTTTCTTCATAGTTAAGTTTGGACTTCCTGTTTGAAACGTCTAATAAGCACCATTTGAAAATTAGATCGAATATAACTGACCATATTTGCACACATGTGATATTTCATAATTTCAAGGAATAAAACAATGTTTATTGATGGCATTTCAAGAGCGGAAACAAACGCTCTTTGTACACTGTTTTGCGTTTGAAAATTGAAGTTGATTTCATCTCAACGAAATCCCACACCATATTTGCACACATGCATTTGTACATTTATTTCAAAATTTCAAGCAATAAAACAATGTTTAATCATGCCATTTCACGAGGGAAAACAAACGTTGTTTGTACACTGTTCCGCGTTTGAGAATTGAAGTTGATTTCATCTGAACGAAATCCGATCTAGACACAGAAGAGAATATTGTAATCTACATTACAAATCAATGTTTAATCATGACATTTCATGAACGGAAACAAACGTTCTTTGTACACTGTTCCGCGTTTGAGAATTGAAGTTGATTTCATCTCAACGAAATCTCATTTTTGTAATCCAAATAACAAATCACTTTTCCTTCGTGTCAAACGGCCTGATTTCACACGATTCCATCTTGTCGGGTCAAATTCACCTCCGATGAATGTTTTGTTAACTATTGTACTAATGTCGTCAATAGACAGACTACATTCCATACGTCAGAAGTCAATTGGACTAAATTAGATCGTCTGAACAGGGGCCGGTTGTATACAGCCCGTTTAGCTTAAACGGTGGTTAAGTTCAAAATAGAAAGCAAGTCTATCGTTTTATTCAAGAAGCAAACTAAATGTTTTTAACCTTAATACAAAGATACTGTCTACCACTACATATTCAGTGCATAATATTCAAGTTGACTCACTCAAGAGAGATGTAAGAGTGTTATTTAATTTTGACTTATCCACTAGTTAACTAAACAGCCTTGATACAACCGGGCCCAGATCTTGACAATATCCACTTATTATTTCAGGTAAACCTGACAACGGGGTCCTCACCCGTCATCGTCACCGCGCAAAGCTGTCTGGACTATTTCAAACGAGGCTACAAAACCAATGGCTACTATCATATCATCAATTACGGGGTGAACGGACTTTTTCATACCGTCTTCTGCGATTTCACATCAGAGCCTGGATTCGCGTGGACTTTGGTGGAATCTTTCGCCTTGAAACATAAACTCCTGCGAGCTTTCCGCAAATCACCGTTGAAGACGAACGACCCTGTGAATCCATACACCCCGAACTGGAATCTTTTCCGAATGTCGTACAAGCAAATGAGTCATTTGAGATCTCAGTCCACACACTGGAGAGTCACCTGCAACTTTCAAGCAAAGCCCATTGATATTTACCGAGATTACGCCAGAGCCAGCTTCAAAGAATTTGACGCGTTGGATTTTGTAAGTGGTGTACCTTGCAAGAAGATGGAATACATTAATATTCGCGGTCACCATTGCACAGGGTGTACGGCTCGTTGGGCGGCAAAGGTTAACAACTGGTCGCTTCATTCCGACAGTGCCTCCAATGGGTGCGATTTTCAGCCGAAAACGGGAGCAGTCGTCTCTGAAGATAACTTTGGTTATTATTCGTCTGTGAATAAGAAATTCCGTTGTAGTTCCTCGCCAAGAGCAACGACCAACTATTGGTTTGGAGGATATTATTAAAAACACTTTTGTTGACTTTAGTTAAGATATTAATGTCTCACATTTACAAAATGAGGCATTGTATAGAAAAATGAACTCAAATCTCTGTAGAACTTATAGACTTTGGTAAAATATAAACCGATGAATGTAAATCTTGTTTATGATGTAATTGGTTTACTGTGTCTGCATGGGTATTTGACAAAGACATCGTGTGTGATTTTTCAACTCATTTGTCATTTAAATTTCACTCACTCCTGACTTTTATATAGCAGAGAGTCGGTATAGCTCGGTACATAAAGGTGAAATTAGGGTGACAAATGGATAGAAAAGATGACAGAGAGGTAACAAGAGTGACGGAAGAGGCTTAAAAAGGGTGAAGGGGACAGAAAGGTAACAAGGTGCGCAGTAAGCGTTTTCACCAGATCATGATTCACGGCTACAGAGCTTCGATTCCGTGTTTTTCATGGGACCATTTATAAACAAACACCAGCCCGTGTGAAAGATGCTTAAAATAAATTTCACCCAAGAGATTATTATCTGTTACTTTAAACATATAATTTGTGAAAAGATTCGAAGTAAATTCTAACACAGACTTTGTCAGCATCGATCATAATATACTTATTATTCATTAATATGATTGATTTTTCTTGGCATAAAGTATCTTTTCTCAGAAATCACTTCCATATGATGAAACAAGAAATTCCTACCAACATAAACACAACCAATTGCAAGTCAGTATTTAAATAACTAGCAGGTACTTAGCTTTTGTCATAAGACATATAATACCGAGTTTCATAGCAACAAATTCCTGTCAACAAAAGACGCTTCAAACAATTTGTTTGCTGTTCTAAATAGATCAAAATATTTCAAGCTGAAATACACAAGAACGAACACTGTATCTATATTGAGTCTATACAGCAAGGTTTATACTACAGAGCGACAAACAACACAGAACTTGCTTTATTATTACGACACAAGAACGACGTGAAATATGGCTTCATATGTACAAGGCTACGATGAAGAAAGGTTTGTGGACAAAATCAATGAAAACTTCCTTTGTCAGATTTGCTTCAATGTCTTGAAAGAGCCAGTTATGTGTTCGAGAAACCAGCATTCTTTTTGCCGTTGTTGTATTACGAAACATCTCGAAAATTACCAAACATGTCCAACGTGTGCTGATAAACTGACCTTAGAGACTTTGGCCGAACCACAAAGAATGATAATGGATATCTTGAATGAATCAAAAATTCGTTGCGTTTACATCGACAGAGGTTGTCAAGAAGTTGTAGAATTACAGCATCTTGACCGCCATGAAGATACATGTGGATATACACCAGCCGTTTGTACAAACCAAGGCTGTGGTTTAACTGTCAACAAGCGTGATCTTATTCACCATGAAAGTGAAGTCTGTGAATTCCGAAAGTTGAAGTGTCACTTGTGCGGAGAAATCACGAAAACTTTTGCAGATATGGAGGAAAGAACGGCGAATATCGAGAAGAATAATATAACAATTGAAACTAAAATTACAAATTTGCAGAAAAACGTTGCCACTGTAGCGAATATCGAGAAAAACACGGCAGATATAAAAGCAGATATAAAAGCAGATATGGAAGGAAAACTCGAAGCGGTTAACAACGAAGTCAAAGGGTTGGAAACGACTTTGGTCAGAGCTTTTGATGAAATGAAGGACGTTCCTACCACGATGGAGGGCAAGAAAGAAGAAAACACCAGAAAATTAATAAATAGACTAAGTGGTGATAAGGAAAATATAATTGTTGCTGCAGGTTTAGGAACTAACACTGTTGAGATGTTTAACTGGCATCAAAGAACATGGTCGCCATTACAATCATTGCCAAGGAATAGTTTTAATGCATCCTCGTTTGTTTATAACAATCATATGACTATAGCTGGGGGTTGCAGTGGTGGGTGTGACGTTGAGGATGATATGATTAGAATGAATATTGACCCAAACCCTGATCTCTCAACACACTGGAGTGACTGTCTTGTTAAACTACCTGATAAGTTGGAAAACCACAGCAGTGTGCTGTATAATGATCAGTTGATAGTCTCTGGAGGTCATAATAGAAATGGTTCATCTGACTTGATCAGAGCAGTCCAGCTTGTTTCTCCCTATACTGTGAAGACCTTATCAAGAATGCCAGAACCAAGACAATGTCACAGCATAGAAATATTTGATGATGATTTGTTGATAGTTGGTGGAAGTACAACTAGCTATCACAAAGACAATCTCAGCAGTGTTGTACTGTACGATATAAAGAAGAATGAGCTGAAACAGTTGTCACCACTGCCGTATGAGGTGTGCCACATGGCAACTGTGAGATGGGGAGACAACATTGTCGTTATTGGTGGCCTTGACAAACATTGCAAGACATTAGATACAGTTATCATTTACAATGTCAAGACAGAACAAAGTCACATGCTGCCATCAATGAGATGTAAGAGGTTAGGATGTATTGCAGTTGTTATTGAAAACAACATTGTAGCCCTTGGAGGGTTGGGTGAAGAAGGACCCCTGAAGTCAGTTGAAGGTTTCAATTTTGAAAGGTATTCTTGGGAAGAACTTCCAGAAATGTCGAAAGCAAGATGGTGGCACACTGCTGTTGTTGTGTGAACGATATAAGAATTGAAGTTTATGAGTTCACGGCAACCAGGTATATAATCCATCGTAATTATCGCTACTCTGGTTTTAGTAAATGAAAGTAATCACCACACAAAGATTAACTTTCACGACCCAACGTTTCGACACTCCGGTCTAGTGTCTTCATCAGGGATGATCTGATGTTAAAACTCGGTTCCTTATATACTCTCAAAATGACGTCATCTATTAATCAAATGTAAATACTCTTTTGGCAAATAGCTTCCGTCATCCCTATTAAGGGCACAAAGACTCGCATTAATATGCCAGGCTTCCAAACAACGCCTTTGTCCATAACGATCATTAGTGGTAATGACTTTTGAATCGTTCCACCCAATGTTATGGTTAGTTTGACACACGTGTTCCGCCAAGGCTGATTTTGAACTGTCTAAGTTCAATACGGCCTTTTGATGTTCTGATATCGATACGGCCTTTTGATAAAAAGTCTGTTGCAAAAACTTTGTTTCAAAGAGCTGAATCGTTACCATCCAATCGCGTTGCTAGGGATAACGAGCGTGATTATGTCCTCAGTGTACTGAGAGAGAACAACTATCCTCGAAACTTTTTAAATGATTGTCTAAAATCCCCTGTCTCGACTGGATGCAATTCCGCAGAGGGTGATTCCTCAAAAACAGGTTTTGCTATAGTTCCATACATTCAGGGAATTGCAGAACCAATCAGGAGGATCCTGAATAATTGTGGTATAAAAGTTGCCTTAAAACCCTTTCAGACATTGGGACATATTTTCGCGAAACCCAAGGATCGCGTAGCGACTAAACAGAAAACTCATGCTGTATACTCTATACCATGTGGTGATTGCGAGAAAGAATATCTAGGTCAAACAAAACGCCAGTTCGGCACACGTTTAAAAGAACATCAAAAGGCCGTATTGAACTTAGACAGTTCAAAATCAGCCTTGGCGGAACACGTGTGTCAAACTAACCATAACATTGGGTGGAACGATTCAAAAGTCATTACCACTAATGATCGTTATGGACAAAGGCGTTTTTTGGAAGCCTGGCATATTAATGCGAGTCTTTGTGCCCTTAATAGGGATGACGGAAGCTATTTGCCAAAAGAGTATTTACATCTGATTAATAGATGACGTCATTTTGAGAGTATATAAGGAACCGAGTTTTAACATCAGATCACCCCTGATGAAGACACTAGACCGGAGTGTCGAAACGTTGGGTCGTGAAAGTTAATCTTTGTGTGGTGATTACTTTCATTTACTAAAACCAGAGTAGCGATAATTACGATGGATATAAGAATGTTGAACTCATCAATTATTTGTTTTGTTCATTGACAATAATTATACCACGAAGCAATAGATTACAGGACTAATATTACCTGATAAATTGTATTAAAATAGACTAGAATATACCTTGAAAAATACCAATGATTGAAAGTCATGTACGAATGAATAAAAAGAAATAAATTGCCAGTGAATAAAGAAAGATATTTTATTTCAACGATGTGACTTTAAACAGGGCCTTGTTTCAATTGATGGAGGCCCAGGTTAACAGACTGGAAAATATTCAGTAAGAAATATACATTATAATATAAGATTTATAGTACGCGCGTGCTGATTGGTCGAGTAGTTGGTCTATAACAGTATAGAAACACCGGAATTTTCCAGCCGAACTTGACAAGCGAAGCGATGTAATGAGAATTTGTAATTGAATCGAATTATGAACTATTTTCTATCCACCACAAGTCACGATAGCGCGAGGTAACTCAGCATTTGAATACAAAACAAATGTTTATTCATGATAATCGTGAATGACTTAATTGCATGTCTATCAAAATTTCCAAGAACGACAATCAAAATCGTGTATGAGACAGTTATAATCAAATTGATCTGCCAGCGAATCAAAATACTAAAATGAGCCAGCCAATCAAATCGTGAATAAGCCAGCCAATCACAGCTCTGAATGAAGCAGCCAATCAAAGTGAATCTCTAGAACTACCGCATAAGAGCAATTGCTGAAGGAAGTTTCTTTTTATATTTTGTGATTTCTCGTTAGAGTCTCGCTTAAAATTGTGGCATAAAATTTTTAAACCGCAAAGCTCAGGTAAAATCCTATTTTCCAATACCTTGCAAACATGTAAATTTCTAAAAATTAACTATCACTTTCTTTATTTATCATCAAGGTTTCTGTAACTCAACATGTTTTTCAAAGTATTACTGCTCGCTGTAATTGTGGTTTGTCAGGTAGGCTCTGATATTATCTATATAGTATGCAATAGACTCACTCGGAATATTCTGACTTGAAATGTTTATGAAGAGCGTTGTTTCAACTGAGATATTTATACAATCTTCAGTGAGTTAGACTTCAGCAATGACTCGGGAAAACACGGAGATACTTAATTTTACATACAATATTTTTTGAGTTAGTATTTTCATAATCCTAAGCAGACGATAACACATATCGTTTGTTACCCCAGTCAACTGATAGGCAACGCAGAAGAAATTTCACACGATCTTCATAATTCGAGAGAATTACGGCTAGTTCCGTTGGTGCTTCACTTCGACCATGAAATGTCAAACATATATGTTCATAAGTGAACTCTAATAAATACATCAATGCATACAGGTATATTTTTATCCTTTATACAAACATATTAAATGTGTTGGGCAATCTGGAGGACAAATATCAACAAACAAGACGTGCTCCACCGTTGTACTACTTTTCAGCATGATAGCTAGCTTACTCAAGGCCTACACAACCCTCCGAATACAGAGCTCTCTTTACCAAATTCCGCAACTAAAAACACTACACAATTCAGGAGCCATTAAAAGTGAATACTTTAACGAGTATATGAGATTTATACAAGCTGCGACATATGGAAGGCTGTTCACCATTAACTCCAAACGAATACCCTTCAATTAGACAGAGCTTTATATAGCTTTAAAATCACTCAATGTTGACATATAATATAAACTAATCTTTTCAAATCTCGATATGTCAAATTTGCATATATCTTTGTCTACAAATACTATCAACAGCGTCATTGTGTTTGGTAAGTGGCATGCAAGTATACTTTTCCCGTGAAATTTGTAAGAAATGTTTTGTCGTAAATGCTTCTGCACAAAAGATGTTAATTTACGCTGTGAAAAGAACAGTTGTCGAAAGATCATTTTTGTCTGAACAGGGGTTATATATTTCTAGACATTCAAGCAGGAAATTATATCATAACTCAGCACAATTGTTCATTTGTTTGCATTTTCTTCATAGTTAAGTTTGGACTTCCTGTTTGAAACGTCTAATAAGCACCATTTGAAAATTAGATCGAATACAACTGACCATATTTGCACAAATTTGTACATTTATTTCATAATTTCAAGGCATAAAACAATGTTTATTCATGACATTTCACGAGGGAAAACAAACGTTCTTTGTACACTGTTCCGCGTTTGAGAATTGAAGTTGATTTCATCTCAACGAAATCCCATCCAGACACAGAAGAGAATATTGTAATCTACATTACAAATCAATGTTTATTCATGACATTTTATGAACGGAAACAAACGTTCTTTGTACACTGTTCCGCGTTTGAGAATTGAAGTTGATTTCATCTCAACGAAATCCCATCCAGACACAGAATAAAATATTGTAATCCAAATTACAAATCACTTTTCCTTCGCTTCAAACGGCCCGATTTCACACGATTCAATTTTGTCAGTTAAATTCACTTCCGATGGATGTTTTGTTAACTTTTGTAGTCTGTTGCTGTGTAAAGTATGTGGAGCGAATCCACTTAAGCCAAACGCAGTACTAATGTCGTCAATAGACAGACTACATTCCAAACGTCAGAAGTCAATTGGACTAAATTAGATCGTCCGAACAGATCTTGACAATATCCACTTATTACAGGTAAACTTGACATCGGGGTCCTCACCCGTCATCGTCACTGCACAAAGCTGTCTGGACTATTTCAAACGAGGCTACAAAACCAATGGCTACTATCATATCATCAATCACGGGGTGAACGGACTGGTTCATACCGTCTACTGTGACTTCACATCAGAGCCTGGATTCGCGTGGACCTTGGTTGAATCTTTCGCCTTGAAACATAAACTCCTTCGAGCTTTCCGCAAATCACCGTTGAAGACGAACGACCCTGTGAATCCAAACACCCCGAACTGGAACCTTTTCCGAATGTCGTACAAACAAATGAGTCATTTGAGATCTCAGTCCACACACTGGAGAGTCACCTGCAACTTTCAAGCAAAACCCATTGATATTTACCGAGATTACGCAAGAGCAACCTTCAAAGAATTTGACGCGTTGGATTTTGTAGGTGGTGTGCCTTGCAAGAAGATGGAATACATTAATATTCGCGGCCACCATTGCACAGAGTGCAACGCTCGTTGGCTGGCAAAGGTTAACCAATGGTCGCTTCATTCTGACAGTACCTCCCTTGGGTGTGATTTTCAGCCAAAAACGGGAGCAGTCCTCTCTGAAGACAACTTTGGTTATTATGTCAACGTGAATAAGAAATTCCGTTGCAGTTCCTCGCCAAGAGCAACGACCAACTATTGGTTTGGAGGATATTATTAAAAACACTCTTTTTTACACTTTAGTTAAGCCATTAATGTCTTTCACATTTACAAAATGAGGCATTGTATAGAAAAATGCACTCAAATCTCTGTAGAACTTATACTCAGGTAAAATATAAACTGGCGAATCTAAATATTGTTTATGATAAGTGAATTATGCGTTTAACAATGGTTTACTGTGTCTGCATAGGTATTTGACAGAGACATCGTGTGTGATTTATCAACTCATTTGCTATTTAAATTTCACTCAATCCTGACTTTCAAATAGCGGAGGGTCGGTACAGCTCGGTACATAGTGGTGAAATTAGGGTAACAAATGGATAGAAAAGATGACGGAGGGGTAACAAAACAGTGGCAGAAGAGCATAAACATGGGTAAAGGGGGAGCAGAGGGGTAAAAAAAGGGGCGCGGAGGGGTGGAAAAGGGAAAGAAAGTGATAACAAAATGTGACAGAGAGGCAGCAAGTAAGTATCATAAGATCTGTAGTTGATTCACGGCTCCAGAACCACGATTCCGTGTTTTCCATGGTTTGGTTTGCTGGTTTGGTTTCCATGGGACCATTGATTTTATAAATAAACACCAGCCCGTGTGAAAGACGCTTGAAATATATTTTACCCAAGAGATTATTATCTGATGATTTAAACACACAATTTGTGGAAAGATTCGAAGGGAATTCTAATACAGACTTTATCCGCATCGATCATAACATACTTGTCTAAATATTCATTATTATGATTGATTTTTCTTGGTATAAAGTATCATTTTCTCAGAACTCATTTCCATATAATGAAACAAGAAATCCCTACCAACATAAACACAACCAATTGCAAGTCAGTATTTGATTAAATAGTAATATAATACCGATAATACTGACTTTCATAGCAACAAATTCCTGTCAACAAAAGACGCTTCAAACACTTTACAAGAAAGCGATATTTGTCTGCTGTTCTAAACAGATCAAAATATTTGAGGCAAATACACAAGAACGAACACTGTATCTATATTCAGTCTATACAGCGAGGTTTATACTACAGAGCGACAAACAACACAGAACTTGCTTTATTATTACGACACAAGAAACTGAACAACGACATGGCAGATATGGAAGAAAAATTTGAAGCGCTTAACAATGAAGTCAGAGGGCTGAAGCGGTCTGTTGACAGGATGGAAGGCAAGATAAAAGAAAACGCAAGAAAAATAAGTAATAAACTGAATGGTGATAAAGAAAGTGTAATTGTTGCTGGAGGTGTAGGAACTAACTCTGTAGAGATGTTTAACTGGCGTCAAAGAGCATGGTCGCCATTACAATCAATGCCAGAGAAACGTGAAGGAGCGACTTCATTTGTTTATAACAATCATATGACTATAGCTGGGGGTTACCGTGGTGGGTCTGGCATTGTTGATGATATGATTAGAATGAATATTGATCCAAACTCTGATCTCTCAACACACTGGAGTGGCTGTCCTGTTGAACTACCTGATAAGTTGCAATACCACAGCAGTGTGCTGTATAATGATCAGTTGATAGTCTCTGGAGGTCAAACTGATGGAAAGATGGCATGTGACCAGATCAGAGCAGTCCAGCTTGTTCCTCCCTATACTGTGACGCCCTTACCAAGAATGCCAGAACAAAGAAAGCATCACAGCATGGAAATATTTGATGATAATTTGTTGATAGTTGGTGGAAGTACAACTGGCAATTACAAAGACAACCTTAGCAGTGTCGTACTGTACGATATAAAGAAGAATGAGCTGAAACAGAATGAGCTGAAACCACTGCCGTATGAAGTGAGTCGCATGGCGACTGTGAGATGGGGAGCTGAAAACATCGTTGTTATTGGTGGCGAAGACAAACAACACCAGCCATTAGATGCGGTTATCATTTACAATGTCAAGACAGAACAAAGTCACATGCTGCCATCGATGAAATATAAAAGGTATGGATGCACTGCAGTTGTTATCAAACATAACATTGTAGTTCTGGGAGGGTTTGGTGAACAACATCAGATCGTGAAGTCAGTTGAAGGTTTCAACTTTGAAAGTTATTCTTGGGAAGACCTTCCAGAAATGTCTGTGGCAAGAGGCAATCACACTGCTGTTGTTGTGTGAACGATGTAAGAATGTTGAACTCATTTGTTTAGTTTGATAATTGACATTAACTCGTATAAAGCTTAGAATTGCTGTTAGTTTGTAAAACATTAGCTTGGAAAATAGTTATGAGACATTTAATCAATATTTGTTCGATTGTTTAAACTTATATCAATTATTAAAATTTTGATATGTGAAATGCGAACCCACAATTTCCCCAGGGCTTTCAACTGGAAAATGTTCTCCGCACCGTAATCTCTCAAAACCTAAGAGACTGATTCAAACTGGTCCTTTCGAAAAACTCCACGCCCCTCACGTTTTTTGGTTAACTTCTCTCTACCATGTTTTTGGTCCATCTCCCCATGTTTTTTGACAAAGAACTGCAAAGTTATTTTTTTGGTCTATTTTCGCCTTACTTTCCACCTTAAGTCACCCTTCAAAATCGTTCGCACCTCGCTCATGTTTTTCGCCCCCGGAACCATTAAAACCAACAACAACCTCCCCCCCCCCCTAATTCATCTTATTTACCGAGAGCTCTGAATAAGAGAGGGCAGTGCACGAATTACATTTCACCCAGGGGGGGAAGTTGCATTTTTGTTAATTTTTTAAGTGAGTTGTAGAAACGTCGTTGTATCCAAACATTCCAACTACAAATTCAACGTTATAATAATGGAGCTGTAATGAGATAAGGGTCTTAATTTCGAGTGGAATTATACACACTTCAAATTCAAGCCAGGAACATTTGATGGAAAATGAGTCAACTATAGGTCCTCCGGCAGGAATAGAACCTACGCTTTTGCGATGCCGGTGCAATGTTCTTGCCACGAAGCGAAGCGTACAAAGAATAGGTTCGATTCCTGCCGGAGGACCGATAGTTGACTCATTTTTCTATCAACTGTTCCTGGCTGGAATTTGAAGTGTGTATAATTCCACTCGAAATTAAGACCCTTTGAACCTCTAACATTTACCTACATCGAGTGAAGTGCCAAAAATCATAATTGATTTACCTGTCATGAAATAGTTCCATCTTTATAATTTCCCTGTTTGTCTTTGAAACATTTCAACAGCTTCCATACACGTCATTTTAATTGTTCGTTCAATTCTCTGTCGCGATAAACAGGCTGAAGTTAAACTTCAATTCTCTCAAAGATGGCGCGTGTGCCATCACATAGCCTGGACAATTTGAGTCGTTTTTCCACGAAGATTCCGTCAGCTCTAAAATGTAAACGATACACCATCAAAATAAGTAAATATAGTTCAAACTAGACCAATTTTATAGTATGAATCGTGTGGTTGCATTGTCACTGGATATTGTAATAAAAATTGAGTAACATGCAACAGCACGTTTGGTGAATGACCTTGCATAACCCGCATGACCCGATTGTATCCAGCCAAGAGGGTGAATCCATCTAAAAATTTAGGGGGGGGGACAAGCTTTCTAAATTAATAATGTTAAATGAGCGAGATTAATACGATATTTATTATATTCAGTCATAAAGGAGAAAATCTGAATAGGTTTGTGGCGAATAATGGTGATCGAGCTACTAATATGTCCAGCGATGCAAGGCAAAAATTGATCGTGTAGATACACGGGAATTTCCCCGCCGAACTTGACAAGCGAAGCGATGTAATGAGAATTTGTAATTGAATCGAATTATAATATTTGTACAAAATCTTTTTATTGAGTTATATTAAAACGGAATGGAAAACGTTTTTCCAGTGTTTCTATACAGTTATAGAAACACTTGTAGAGTTTGGAAGAACTCGAAGTAAAGTGGTTTCCCCCTGATTATTTCTCGTTCTCCCAAACTCCCACGCGTGTTTCTATAACTGTATAGAAACACAGGAAAACGTTTTCCAGTTCTTAATTTTTAAACCACAAATTAATAATTATATTGCGTCATGGTTTCTTTGCGATCAGTGAAGACTAGTTTGCAAACCTCACACGAAAGCCAAGATAATCTTAAACTATTTTCTATCCACCACAAGTCACAATAGCGCGAGATAACTCAGCATTTGAATACAAAACAAATGTTTATTGATGATAATCGTGAACGACTTAATTGTCTATCAGAATATCCAAGAACGCCAATCAAAATCGTGTATGAGACAGTTAATTAAATTGGCGTAAAAGTCAATTAAAATATTAAATGAGACAGCCAATCAAAATCGTGAATAAGCCAGCCAATCACAGCTCTGAATACAGCAGCCAATCAAAGTGAATCTCTAGAACTACCACATAAGAGCAATTGCTGAAGGAAGTTTCTTTTTATACTTTGTGATTTCTCGTTAGAGTCTCGCTTAAAATTGTGGCTAAAATTTTTGACCAAAGCTCAGGTAAAATCCTATTTTTCTATACCTTGCATGACGTGTAACTGAATTTATCAAATTAACTGTCAGTTACTTTATTTATCATCAAGGTTATTGTTACTTCAATATGATTTTCAAAGTATTTCTGCTCGTTGTGATTGCTGCGTATGAGGTAAGTGGGTCGTAAAATTCTCTTCCACAGTATTTCAAAACCTGTCTTTCTCAAAAATTCCGATTTAGTTTGTTCTTAATAATGTAAATAACCACGAGTTTTTCAAAGTGAGGGTTAATTCATATATAAATATCAAATCCTCTCGATGCATGGTATATTATGTCCTTCAGCGCTTAATTGAGATGGCACAGGGCTACGAATTAACCCGTCTGCTAACATTAAGAGAAAGAAAACACATGGATAGTCAATTCTGCATACAAGAATATTAAAACAGTATTCTAACTTTCTTCAGAAGATAACCTCCGTAAACAATAGCGAAAAACAGATGAAATTTATTTCAATCAACATATAAACGAGTTTAAAGCCCCAAAGTAGAAATACTTCAAAACCTTTAGTGTCTTAATCCCAAGTACAAATCGCACGACTCCCTGAGTCATCTATTGTAGTTAAAACTCGATAAAAATAATTCCATGAACACTTGATATGACCGTCCGCCGTAGTAAATTAAGTTCATTTGTCATTTGAAACCTTGGGAGTCACTAATTTACTAAGTCAAAATTAATGAGCAGCTATATACAAGACATGACTCTACTTGCAAAAGGTTTGAGTAATAATGGCTCACAAAATCCACGAAAAATGCACAAGGAAAATATTCACAAGCCCTTTGAGAACCGGCAAGGCCAGACTTTAGAACACTCAGACACTTGAAAAAGCTCACCAAAGCGGTTTATTCTACAAGTATGAGATATCAATGTAACCAGTTACAGCATTCGCCTGTTCTTCTCACAATGTCAATGTAAACCAACAATGTAGCTACCATTTTGAAGAACTTGTATTTCAATGTACTTGCTTATATATATTTAATTCAAGCGAATAAAACGAAGGGAATTCTAATACAGACTTTATCCGCATTAATTATAATATACTTAGTCGAAATATTTCATTATTATGATTGACTTTTCTTGGTATAAAGTATCGTTTTCTTCGAACTCATTTCCATATAATGAAATAAGATATTCCTACCAACATAAACACAACCAATTGCAAGTCAGCATTTGAACAAGACGTCAATGACCTCTTAACACCAGTGAAAGACTAGCAAATTCCTGTCTGCGAAAGACGCTTTAAACACTTTATAAGGGAGCGATATTTGTCTGCTTTTCTAAACGGATCAAAAGATTACAAGCAAACACACAGACTTCTTCAAGAACGAACACTGTATCTATATTCAGTCTATACAGCGAGGTTTATAGTACAAACGACAAACAACACAGAACTTGCTTTATTATTGCAACACAAGAACGACTTGAAATATGGCTTCATATATACAAGGCTACGATGAAGAAAGGTTTGTGGACAAAATCAATCAAAATTTTCATTGTCAGATTTGCTTCAACGTCTTGAAAGAGCCGGTTATGTGTTCACGAAACCAGCATTCTTTTTGCCGTTGTTGTATTACGAAACATCTGGAAAATTTTCAAACATGTCCAACGTGTGCTGATGAACTGACCGTAGAGACTTTGGCCCAACCACAAAGAATGATAAAGGATTTCTTGAATGAATCGAAAATTCGTTGCGTTTACATCGACAGAGGTTGTCAAGAAGTTGTAGAAGTACAGCATCTTGACCGCCATGAAGATACATGTGGATATACACCAGCCGTTTGTACAAACCAAGGCTGTGGTTTAATTGTCAACAAGCGTGATCTTATTCACCATGAAAGTGAAGTCTGTGAATTCCGAAAGTTGAAGTGTCACTCGTGCGGAGAAATGACGAAAACTTTGGCAGATATGGAGGAAAGAATGGCGAATATCGAGAAGAATATCGAGAAGAATAATACAACAGTTGAAACTAAAATAACAAATTTAGAAAGAAAAATAGACAAAAACACGGCAGAAACGGAAGGAAAACTCGAAGCGGTTAACAACAATGTCGACGGATTGAAAACAGCTCTGATCCAAGCTTTTAATGAAATGAAGGACGTTCTCATCACGAAAGAGGGTAAGAAGGAAGAAAACTCACGAAAAATAATAAATAAACCAAGTGGTGATAAGGAAAATATAATTGTTGCTGGAGGTTCAAGAACTAACTCTGTAGAGATGTTTAATTGGCGTCAAAGAACATGGTCGCCATTACAACCAATGCCAAAGAATCGGTGGGCAGCGACTTCGTTTATTTATAAGAATCATATGACTATAGCTGGGGGTTGCTGTGATCAGAATGAAATTGTTCTTAATTCGATTGGAATGAATATTGACCCAAACCCTGATCTTTTAACACACTGGAGTTATTGTCCTTTCACAGTACCTAAGTTGTGGTACAAAAACAGTGTGCTGTATATTGATCAGTTAATGGTTTTAGGTGCTAGTGACTTGATCATCAGAGCAGTCCAGCTCGTTCCTCCCTATACTGTGAAGACCTTATCAAGAATACCAGAACCAAGATACAATCACAGCATGAAAATATTTGATGATAATTTGTTGATAGTTGGTGGAAGTTTACCTGGCGGATGCAAAGACAACCTCAGCATTGTCGTGCTGTACGATATAAAGAAGAATGAGCTGAAGCAGTTGTCACCACTGCCGTATAAAGTGAGTGATATGGCAACTGTGAGATGGGGAGACAACATCGTTGTTATTGGTGGCGTTGACAAACATGGCAATGAATTAGATACAGTTATCATTTACAATGTCGAGACAGAACAAAGTCACATGCTGCCATCAATGAGATGTAAGAGGAGGGGATGTACTGCAGTTGTTATTGAAAACAACATTGTAGTCCTGGGAGGGTTGGGTGAACAAGGTGACCTGAAGTCAGTTGAAGGTTTCAACTTTGAAAGGTATTCTTGGGAAGAACTTCCAGAAATGTCTGAAGCAAGATGCTGGCACACTGCTGTTGTTGTGTGAACGATATAAGAATGTTGAACTCATCAATTATTTGGTTTGTTCATTGACAATAATCATATCACGAAGCAATAGACTACAGGACTAATAATACCTGATAAATTGCATTAAAATAGACTAGAATATACCTTGAAAAATACCAATGATTGAAAGTCATGTACGAATGATTAAAAAGAAATAAATTGCCAGCGAATAAAGAAAGATGTTTTATTTCAACGATATGACTTTAAACAGGTCCTTGTTTCAACTGATGGAGCCCGGGTTAACAGACTGGAAAATATTCAGTAAGAAATATACATTACAATATAACATTTATAGTACGCGCGTGCTGATTGGTCGAGAAGCGTGTTTCTATAACTGTATAGAAACACGGGAATTTTCCCGCCGAACTTGACATTCAAGCGAAGCGATGTAATGAGAATTTATAATTGAATCGAATTATAAACTATTTTCTATCCGCAACAAGTCACAATAGCGCGAGGTAACTCAGCAATTGAATACAAAACAAATGTTTATTGATGATAATCGTGAATGACTTATAATTGCATGTCTATCAGAATATCCAAGAACGACAATCAAAATCGTGTATGAGACAGTTATAATCAAAGTGATCTGCCAGCGAATCAAAATACTAAAATGAGCCAGCCAATCAAATCGTGAATAAGCCAGCCAATCACAGCTCTGAATGAAGCAGCCAATCAAAGTGAATCACTAGAACTACCACATAAGAGCAATTGCTGAAGGAAGTTTCTTTTTATATTTTGTGATTTCTCGTCAAAGTCTCGCTTAAAATTGTGGCATAAAATTTTTAAACAAAGCTCAGGTAAAATCTTACTTTTCAATACCTTGCAAACGTGTAAATTTCTTAAAATTAACTATCAGTTTCTTTATTTATCATCAAGGTTTCTGTAACTCAACATGATTTTCAAAGTATTACTGCTCGCTGTAATTGCGGTTTGTCAGGTAGGTTATTATCTATATAGTATGCAATAGACTCACTTGCAATATTCTGACTTGAAATATTTATGAAGAGCATTGTTTCAACTGAGATATTTATACAATCTTCAGTGAGTTCGACTTCAGCAATGACTCGGGAAAACATGGAGAAACTTAATTTTACATACAATATTATTTGAGTTAGTATTTCATAATCCTAAGCAGACGATAACACTTATCGTTTGTTACCCCTGTCAACTAATAGGCAACGCAGAAGAAATTTCACACGATCTTCATAATTCAAGAGAATTACGGCTAGTTCGGTTAGTGCTTCAGTTCGACCATGAAATGTCAAACATCTATGTTCATAAGTGAACTCTAATAAATACATCAATGCATACAGGTGTATTTTTATCATGTATGCAAACATATTAAATGTGTTGGGAAATCTGGAGGACAAATATCAACAAACAAGACGTGCTCCACCGTTGCACTACTTTTCAACATGATAGCTAGCTTACTCAAGGCCTACACAACCCTCAGAATACAGAGCTCCCTATACTAAATTCTGTAACTAAAAACACTACACAATTCAGGACCCATTCAAAGTGACTACTTTAACGAGTATATATATGAGATTTATACAAGCTGCGACATATAGAAGGCTGTCCACGATTAATTCCAAACGAAAACCGTTCAATTGGACAGAGCGTTGCATAGCTTTAAAATTACTCAATGTTGACATATAATATAAACTAATCTTTTCAAATCTCGATGTGTAAATTTGCATATATCTTTGTCTAAAATTACTATCAGCAGGGTCATTGTGTTTGGTAAGTGGCAAGTATATTTTTCCCGTGAAATTTGTAAGAAATGTTTTGTCGTAAATGCTTCTGGACAAAAGATGTTAATTTACGCTGTGAAAAGAACAGTTGTCAAAATATCATTTTCGTCTGAAGAGGAGTTATATATTTGTAGACACTCAAGCAGGAAATTATATCATATTTCAGCACAATTGTTCATTTGTTTGCATTTTCTTCATAGTTGAGTTTGGACTTCCTGTTTGAAACACATTTGCACGCATTTGTACATATGCAATACTATGACGGAAAACAAACGTTTTTTGAGGGAAGACAAACGTTCTTTCATGAGGGAAAACAAACGTTCTTTGTACACTGTTCTAGCTGCGTTTGAGAATTGAAGTTGATTTCATCTAAACGAAATCCCAAACCATATTTGCACACATTTGTACATATATTTCATAATTTCAAGGAATAAATCAATGTTTATTGATGACATTTCAAGAGCGGAAACAAACGTTATTTGTACACTGTTCCGCGTTTGAGAATTGAAGTTGATTTCATCTCAACGAAATCCCATCCAGACACAGAAGAGAATATTGTAATCCAAATTACAAATCACTTTTCCTTCGTGTCAAACAGCCCGATTTCACACGATTCAATTTTGTCAGGTCAAATTCACTTCCGATGGATGTTTTGTTAATTTTTGTAGTCTGTTGCTGTGTAAAGTATGTGGAGCGAATCCACTTAAGCTAAACGCAGTACTAATGCCGTCAATAGACAGACTACATTCCATACGTCACAAGTCAATTGGACGAAATTAGATCGTCTGAACAGATCTTGACAATGTCCACTTATTATTACAGCTAAACTTGACATCGGGGTCCTCACCCGTCATCGTCACCGCGCAAAGCTGTCTGGACTATTTCAAACGAGGCTACAAAACCAATGGTTACTATCATATCATCAATCACGGGGTTAACGGACTGGTTCATACAGTTTTCTGCGATTTCACATCAGAGCCTGGATTCGCGTGGACCTTGGTTGAATCTTTCGCCTTGAAACATAAACTCCTGCGAGCTTTCCGAAAATCACCGTTGAAGACGAACGACCCTGTGAATCCATACACTCCGATCTGGAATCTTTTCCGAATGTCGTACAAGCAAATGAGTCATTTGAGATCTCAGTCCACACACTGGAGAGTCACCTGCGACTTTCAAGCAAAACCCATTGATATTTACCGAGATTACGCCAGAGCAAGCTTCAAAGAATTTGACGCGTTGGATTTTGTAGGTGGTGTACCTTGCAAGAAGATGGAATACATTAATATTCGCGGTCACCATTGCACAGGGTGTACAGCTCGTTGGGCGGCAAAGGTTAACAACTGGACGCTTTATTCTGACAGTGCCTCCATTGGGTGCGATTTTCAGCCAAAAACGGGAGCAGTCGTCTCTGAAGATAACTTTGGTTATTATGCATCCGTGAATAAGAAATTCCGTTGCAGTTTCTCGCCTAGAGCAACGACCAACTATTGGTTTGGAGGATATTATTAAAAACACTTTTGTTGACTTTAGTTAAGATATTAATGTCTCACATTCACAAAATGAGGCGTTGTATAGAAAAATGCACTCAAATCTCTGTAGAACTTAAACGACTCATGTGAAATATAAACTCGCAGATCTAAATCTTGTTTATGAGAAGTGAATTGAAACCCGCACAGACCGGACGCGATTTGGCAATGCGGCGCGATTATGCAAGGTTTTCCATTTTCCAAAAGCAAATAAAGTTTAACCTATCGTTATATTCTTGTTCATTATTTAACGATAATACAATTTGACTGTTCTGGCGTCCATAGACTCCAAATTTCGCTTCCAGAATTGAATTTATATGCTTTCGAACACAATGGTTCGCTGTGTCCGGGTATTCGTCAGAAATATCGTGTGTGATTTTTCAACTCATTTGTTATTTAAATTTCACCCACTCCTGACTTTTATATAGCAGAGAGTCGGTATAGCTCGGTACACAGTGGTGAAATTAGGGTAACAAATGGATAGAAAAGATAAAAGAGGGGTAACAAAACAGTGGCAGAAGAGGTTCAACATGGGTAAAGGGGAAGCAGAAGGGTAACAAAAGGGGCGCGGAGGGGTGGAAAAGGGCAAGAATGTGATAACAAAAGGAGACAGAGAGGCAGTAAGTATCATAAGGTCTCCCGTTGATTCCCGCCTCCAGAACCACGATTCCGTGTTTTTCATAGGATCATTTATAAACAAATACCAGCCCGTGTGAAAGACGCTTGAAATATATTTCACCCAAGAGACTATTATCTGTTGCCTTAAACACACAATTAGTGGTCATATTCGAAATAAATTCTAATACAGACTTTATCCGCATCGATTATAATATACTTAGTCGAAATATTTCATTATTATGATCGACTTTTCTTGGTATAAAGTATCGCATTCTTCGAACTCATTTCCATATAATGAAACAAGAAATTCCTACCAACATAAACACAACCAATTGCAAGCATTTGAACAGGAGATGCTGAGCTTTTGTCACAAGACAAAGACTTGAAACTAATAATATCTTGCAACTTACATTCCAGCAAATTCCTGTCCGCAAAAGACGCTTTAAACACTTTATAAGGGAGCGATATTTGTCTGCTTTTCCAAAGACTAAAGGGATCAAAAGATTACAAGCAAACACAGAGACTTCTCCAAGGACAAACACTGTATCTATATTCAGTCTATACAGCGAGGTTTATACTACAGAGCGACAAATAACACAGAACTTGCTTTATTATCACGACACAAGAACGACGTGAAATATGGCTAAATATGTACAAGGCTACGATCAAGAAAGGTTTGTAGACAAAATCAATCAAAACTTTCATTGTCAGATTTGCTTCAATGTCTTGAAAGAGCCGGTTATGTGTTCGAGAAACCAGCATTCTTTTTGCTGTTGTTGTATTACGAAACATCTGGAGAATTCCCAAACATGCCCAACGTGTGCTGATCAACTGACGGTAGAGACTTTAGCAGAAGCACCGCGAATGGTTAAAGATTTTTTGAATGAATCAAAAACTCGTTGCGTTTACATCGACAGAGGTTGTCAAGAAGTTGTAGAATTACAGCATCTTGACCGCCATGAAGATACATGTGGATATACACCAGCCGTTTGTACAAACCAAGGCTGTGGTTTAATTGTCAACAAGCGTGATCTTATTCACCATGAAAGTGAAGTCTGTGAATTCCGAAAGTTGAAGTGTCACTCGTGCAGAGAAATGTCGAAAACTTTGAAAGAAATGGAGGAAAGAATGGCGAATATCGAGAAGAATATCGAGAAGAATAATACAACAGTTGAAAATAAAATAAGGAGTTTAGAAAGAAAAATAGACAAAAACATGGCAGAAACGGACGGGAAACTCGAAGCGGTTAACAAAAATGTCGACGGATTGAAAACAGCTTTGGTTAGGGCATTTGACGAAATGAAGGACGTTCTTATCACGAAAGAGGGTAAGAAAGAAGAAAACACAAGAAAAGTAATAAATAGACCAAGTGGTGATAACGAAAATATAATTGTTGCTGGAGGTGTAGGAACTAACTCTGTAGAGATGTTTAACTGGCGTCAAAGAACATGGTCGCCATTACAATCAATGCCAAAAGAACGTTGGAGATTGACTTCATTTATTTATAACAATCATATGACTATAGCTGGGGGTTGGTGTGATGGGTCTGACATTGTTGATCATATGATTAGAATGAATATTGACCCAAACCCTGATCTCTCAACACACTGGACTTACTGTCCTTTCACAGTACCCGATTTGTGGTACCCCAGTGTGCTGTATATTGATCAGTTAATCGTTTCAGATTCTAGTGACTTGATCAGATCAGTCCAGCTTGTTCCTCCCTATACTGTGAAGACCCTATCAAGAATGCCAGAACCACGGAAAGCTCACAGCATGGAAATATTTGATGATAATTTGTTGATAGTTGGTGGAAGAACAACTACCCACGACGAAGACAACCTCAGCAGTGTCGTACTGTACGATATAAAGAAGAATGAGCTGAAACAGTTGTCACCACTGCCGTATGAAGTGAGTGAGATGGCAACTGTGAGATGGGGAGACAACATTGTTGTTATTGGTGGCATTAACAAACATGGCAAGACATTAGATACAGTTTTCATTTACAATGTCAAGAAAGGACAAAGTCACATGCTGCCATCAATGAGGTGGAAGAGGGAGGCATGTACTGCAGTTGTTATTGAAAACAACATTGTGGTCCTTGGAGGGTTGGGTAAAGAGGGACCCCTGAAGTCAGTTGAAGGTTTCAATTTTGAAAGGTATTCTTGGGAAGAACTTCCAGAAATGTCTGAAGCAAGATACTGGTCCACTGCTGTTGTTGTGTGAACGATATAAGAATGTTGAACTCATCAATGATTTGGTTTGTTTATTGACAATAATCATATCACGAAGCAACAGACTACAGAACTAATACCGGATAAATTGTATTAAAATAGACTAGCATATACCTTGAAAAATACTAATATTTGCAAGTCATGTATGACTGATTAAAAAGAAATAAATTCCTAGTGAATAAAGAAAGAAGGCAAATTAATTATGTTATTTCAACGATATGACTTTAAACAGGGTCTTGTTTCAACTGATGGAGACCCAGGTTAACAGACTGGAAAATATTCAGTAAGAAATATACATTATAATATAACATTGATAGTACTGACGCGCGAGTTGATTGGTCGAGTAGCGTGTTTCCATAACTGTATAGAAACACGGGAATTTTCCCGCCGAACTTGACAAGCGAAGTAATGTAATGAGAATTTGTAATTGAATCGAATTATAATATTTGTACAAAATCTTTTTATTGAGTTATATTATAAACGAAATAGAAAACCATTCTTCCTGTGTGTCTATACAGTTATAGAAACAGTTGTGGGAGTTTGGGAGAACTCGAAATAACATGGAAAACTCGCCCTACGGCATCGTTTTCCCACTTATTATTTCTCGTTCTCCCAAACTCCCACGCGTGTTTCTATAACTGTATAGAAACACGGAAAATGTTTTCGATTTCTTAATTTTTAAACCACAAATTAAAAATTATATTGCGTCATTGTTTCTTTGCGATTAGTAAAGACTAGTTAACTAGTTTGCAAACCTCCCAAGAAAGGCAAGATGATCTTAAACTATTTTCTATCCACCACAAGTCACTATAACGCGAGGTAACTCATCATTTGAATACAAAGCAAGTCCGCAGTAAGCGTTTTCAGCAGATCATGATTTACGGCTCTAGAACCACGATTCCGTGTTTTCCATGGAACGATTTATAAACAAACACCAGCCCGTGTGAAAGACACTTGAAATATATTTCACCCAAAAGGTCATTGTCTGTTGCTTTAAACACATAATTTGTGGAAAGTTTCGAAGGGAATTCTAATACAGACTTTATCCGCATCGATTATAATATACTTAGTCGAAATATTTCATTATTATGATCGACTTTTTTTGGTATAAAATATCGCTTTCTTGGAACTCATTTCCATATAATGAAACAAGATATTCCTACCAACATGAATACAACCAATTGCAAGTCAGCATTTGAACAAGACGTCAATGACCTTTTAACACAAGAGAAAGACAAGCAAATTCCTGTCTGCGAAAGACGCTTTAATTAAACACTTTATAAGGGAGGGATATTTGTCTGCTTTTCTAAACGGATCAAAATTTTTCCAAGCAAATACGCAGACTTCTCCAAGCTAAGAACGAACACTGTATCTATATTCAGTCTATACAGCGAGGTTTATACTACAGAGCGAAAAACAACACAGAACTTGCTTTATTATTACGACACAAGAACGACGTGGCAGATATGGAAGAAAAATTTGAAGCGCTTAACAACGAAGTCAGAGAGTTGAAGCAGGCTTATGATGAGATGAAAGGTACTGTTGACAGGATGGAAGGCAAGATAGAAGAAAACGCAAGAAAAATAAGTAATAAGCCGAATGGTGTTAACGAAAATATAATTGTTGCTGGAGGTTTATTCACTAACTCCGTAGAGATGTTTAACTGGCGTCAAAGAACATGGTCGCCATTACAATCAATGCCAAAGGATCGTCATGGAGCGACTTCATTTATTTATAACAATCATATGACTATAGCTGGGGGCAGCTGTGGTCAGTCTGGCTATGTTGATGATATGATTAGAATGAATGTTGATCCAAACCCTGATCTCTCAACACGCTGGAGTGACTGTCCTGTTGAACTACCTGATAAGTTGTGGAACCACAGCAGTGTGCTGTATAATGATCAGTTGATAGTCTCTGGAGGTCATAATGGAAATGGTTTATCTGACTTGATCAGAGCAGTCCAGCGTGTTCCTTCCTATACTGTGAAGACCTTATCAAGAATGCCAGGACAAAGAAAGTATCGCAGCATGGAAATATTTGATGATAATTTGTTGATAGTCGGTGGAAGTACAACTGGCTATAACGAAGACAACCTCAGTAGTGTCGTAATGTATGAAATACAACAGGAGAATGAGCTGAAACGGTTGTCACCACTGCCGTATGAAGTGAGTGACATGGCAACTGTGAGATGGGGAGACAACATTGTTGTTATTGGTGGCGAAGACAAACATGGCAAGCCATTA